TCATTATAATACATATTGAAATTAAATGAAAATTAATAGTGATTCCTTAATTTCTTCCAGTATTCAGTTGGTAGAGAATCAGACTGTTGACCCCAGGTGGAGCCTTTTGGAAGAAAGTAGCAAAGGAGGATTTGTGCTGAAATGCACATCTGACCCCTCACTGCCATACTGTTAGGGGCATCTCCCCAAAGCAGACAAGTCCTGGGCACAAAGTAGGGTCACAATTACAGTCCTGGCTGGTCCAAAAGTTCAAGTCCCAGAGGTTGACCTGTGGCCAAACTCAGCCACACTTACTTAATCCACTCATTCATTAAATATGCACTAAGCACCTCTTCTGTGCCAGACACTGTTCAAGGCACTGGGCATAGAGAAGTAAACAAATCAGACATGACCCCTGGCCTTATGGGGCTTCTAGACTAGCACAGTATGCTCCCCCTACCCCTGTGAATAGTCCAGCACTCTGCTCTCTTCCAACTGGTGTTTTTTGTTAAGCAGTATTATGACACTGAAGGAACTTCTAAGAAAAAAATGTCATCTAAAATAGCTAGATCTTTTATTAATGTATGTTTATACATTAAAATTAGAAGCAACCTAAATGCATGTCAGGACGGAACCCTTAAGAACACAACTTTTAAAAATGATGAATTAGATCTGCCCATATGTGCGTGTTACAAATATATACTCAATGTTTGCTTAAATCAAGGCTTTCAAACTTCAGCATGTATGAGAATGACCTAGAGGGCTCTGCATAATAATAAAGTGGGAGAAAATTTGAGTTCTGAGGGAAATTAGGGCAGAGGAAAAAAAGAGGTGGGGAAAAATAGCTAAAGAGAAAGGGCCAAAGAGACTTTGGAACAAACTTAAATATTTCATTTTAGTTATTTGCTCTACTATCCTGCATTTGAACACTTTGAATTGTCTTTGAACCTTTTGATATTGTTTTGTTCAATAGCACTTTGAGGAGTGAAGGGATCTGATGTATTCAATGCCGGGTGACATGGCACAGGAAAGGGAGAGTATGTACAGAGGGTGAGATCCAGGACAAGGAAGGACTGAGCATTTAGCAAAAGCAGGACATAAAAATCAGAGGTGACTAGGAGCCATGGAAGCCCGGGTGTCCCTGGGGAGAAGGAACGACAAGAGATAGATATTTTTATTTAAATATGATTAAAGTGGGTGTGGCCATAAAGCTGGAGGGCTGGTGATAACCATCAGCTGATATGCAGCCAGGGACCCACACTGAGCACAGACAACAAGGCCAAGTGTGGCAATGTCGTAAATTATGGGGACAGAGTCGTGCTGTAGAAGAGGGGTGAAAGAGAACATAAATAAGAGAATATTCTTATTCTCAGAATAGAGCCCTGCCAAACTGTTAAATAATTTAAGGAGAATACACCCTCCTCAATACCAGAAAGGATTTCCTAACCAATAAACAACTGGTTCCAAGTAATAAGGTTGCAATCTATACCTTAACACCACCTGGCATCATTGACCAAACAGAACACCAGTAATGTAAGAAGCACTTATGGTAACAGTGCTCTTTCATTGTGATAATAAATTAGCACAGGCTGCAAAGTCAACAACCAGTTCATATTCTAAAAAGTATTGCCTTGTAATGGGTAAAACTTGCTTTTCCACCAGCAACGCAATGACTCAGCCCTTTGTGAGAGAAAGATAGAGTATAAGGACTACCCCAGTAATGCCTCCATAGAGCTAGGTACTTTCAAATCTGCTGCGATGGCACCCGGTGCTGAATTCAGTCACAGCACTTACTATATTGAATGTCAATGTCTGATCATTTGTTCTTTTTCTCCAGGAGACCGTGAGCAGGTTGGAGTCAGGGACTGTGTCTTTCATTAGGTCCTAGCACATTATACACTCTCCTCAGAGGGACTGTTTTTGTAATGAGTGCATCAAGGATTGTATGTGTGTTAGAGTAGCCAAAGAAAACAATACTAGGCCTTAAGAGTCCTTTCCTATAAAATGACAGGATTGAACTGCACCGTGGCCAAAGTCTCCAGACGTACAGGGGATTATTTGCCTAAGATACTTGATTTGTTTAAATGATTTAGAACTTCCATAAGTTTTCCCAAGAATCTATCTGCTACTGCTGATTCGAGCATTTCTTTAGAGAGGACAGAATCCAAAATCCTTAAGAATGGGGTGTCCATCAGGCGCTGGAAAATCCCAAGTCTATCAGAGACGTGTGATAAGACGGTGATTCCTGGGGGATCTGCGGTTTCAGTTTCAATAGTAAGTCACTCTAAGTGAAAGAAACCAGACACAATAGGTCACATATTGTAGGATGAAATATCCAGACTATATAAATGCCTCCAGACAGAAAAGTTTTGTGGTTGCCAAGGCCTGGAGGAGGGGGGACGGCTCTGGGGAATGGGGAGCAATTATTTAATGAGTAGGGGTCTCCTTTGGGGGTAATGAAGATGGCTTGGAATTAAATAGAGGGGACCATTTTACACTATGGTGAATTCACTTAATGCCACCCAACTGTACACTTTGTTATATGAATTGTATAGTTTTAAAAAATCTCTTGGCTGATAGGCTTTAAAAATAACAATGTTAATAATAGTTAGCATTTATTGTGTGGTTATTATGTTCTAGGTGCTCTTAATTCTCACGGTGAGGTAGGTCCTGTCATTATTCCACTCTTGCATAGGCTCTAGTTTGCCCACCGGAGCAGCAGGTAGCAAAGCAGGGCTCAAAACTGCCCTGGCCTGGGCGAAGTCTCTGCCCATTGGTAATGGACTCTGGGAACACAACTGATACAGCCCAGGGTGGTGTGAGCAATTGATTTGAAGAGACCTTGATTGACAAGATAACCAAACTCTTTACATGTTTTTCTAATAGCAAAAGTATACCTGTCTAGTTGTCAAGTGAATGAGTATAAAAACAGGGTCTCATTGGTGAGCAACTCCCTTGAAGGAGGGGATGGCAGAGTTGACCCTGTTAAAGGGATCATAGCCAGAATGAGCCTTACAAGCTCTGGGTCTCTTGGGAAACACGGTGAGAATTCTGCTGACATCTTTTGCAATCAGATTTTTTAAATGGCATAGATGCTCTGTACCTAGGTCCCTAGAAACTTCTCTAAAAAAGACAAGTGATACACTCTCCAGAAAGAAATCCCTGGCAAGATCAGCTGTGTGTACATCATTATATTGAAGAAGCCCTTGCTCATTGGACAATTCTGGCAAAACGCCTTATGAGATTATATTGTGGGCAAAGTCTTTATTGATTTTTGAAATACTGTGCCTGAGAAAAATCTTCCATATTTGTGTATATGGCTGTTTATTAATACTGTTGTGTACTCTGATGTGTCCTGAGGCATATATCCTTCAGCTGCTGAATGTGGTGCAAGCCTTGGGCCTCAGTGTTCTCGAATAGTCCACACCACCTGATGGCAGGTGATGTGACCCTACGGCATGAGCTCTGGGCTTCCATCCAGAGCATTAAAATAGTATGCTCTTTCAAGGGGAACTTTTCACATGCAAAATCTATGCTCCACACCTTTAATCTGTGATTCCCTGCATCCTCCAAAAGTTGTCAGTAGGTCTGAAAATAATCTGCACATATCATGGAACATGCATCTATTCCTTGTACTCAACTGCTTCTGTTGGCCAGAGGTTCTGCCTAGATTATGGATAATATTTAAAGGAACACACAGTCTCACTAGTTGGGGCCTTTTGAAATATTAAATGTCAACTGCTCAAGAGGCATGATGGGAGGATTTGATTGGGAACTCCGTAAGCCAGGTGATCCCCTCCCATCTCCTTGAATACCCCCATGTGCAGCACTGAAACAGCAAGAGAGCAGGGCCCTGCACGAAGGAGTGCAACGCCCTCACAGGAAGTGAGTTCCTTTAGTGAAATTCAAATCCGACTACTGACTAATAGTGAGGGTAAGAAGCGTGTCTCAGTCGACATCATGGTGAACAGCACCTCTCGATGTGCTCCAGACTTGCTTCACAACTGCCTACGTGGTACGTCCATTTCAGTGTTTAGGCAACTCAGATTTACTATGTGCAGAACTGAACACTGGATTTACTACTTTCCTCCTAGACTTTCCCAATTTCGGTAAATGCCTCTACCATTCACCCATTGCTCAGGGCAAAAACCCAAAGGTGATCTTGAATCCTGTCTTTCACTCACAACCCACATCCAAATCCATCACTAAATCACCTTATCTCTGTCTACAAAATATATCCCAAACCTGAGAGCCCTCAGCCTCTTACTTTGGCTCTTCTAATAGCCTTCTAACTCGCTTTCGTGCTTCTACCCTTGCTCTCTTGGCCTATTACATAACTAGAGGCCAGAGTGTTCTTTCTGAAAACAAATAAAATAATACTAATGATGATAAAATCAGATCTTGTCACCTCTTGCTCAAATCCTTCCAACAATTTCTCATCACACTGATAATCCTGTCAAAAATATTTATTATGGCCTGGAAGACTGCATACCTCTGCAACCACACTGCAGTCCTCGTGAGTCTATTCTAATTTGACTGGCCTCTCATTCTTCTTCAAGCTCGCCGAGCACATTTTCATCTCAGGGCCATGGCGTGTGTTGTCCTTTCTACCTGGAACATCCTTCCCCAGACGTTTGCCTGGCTCACTCTTATTTCTTTCAGGGCTCTGCTTACATGTCACCTTTTTCAGTGAGGCATTCCCTGACCAACGCATCTGACATAGCCTTCCTACATTCCTCATCCTTTTACCAAACTTTATTTACAGCATGGATCACTTCTGACATATTTAAATATGTGTTGAATGGAGAAATGAATGGTCTAGCACCCTTACTAACAACACTAGAGAGTGAATTTTACCATCTGAAGTTGTCCAACTTTCTATGACATTGCATCCTTTCCCTCTGCATACAGTATATCTCCCTCAGACACACTTTCCCTGGCAGTAAAAAGAATGTATGCTTTGGAAACTAAGTCCAAACTAATCACACTAACATACAATTTCAAGAACATTGGGCTTCACTATGTCTGCCATTTTCAACTTTCAGAGTCTGTTGACTGTAATCTTGCTCCTTATACATACTTGTGCTTATATCCCATCCTTGACACCCAGCCTCCTGGACAGAAATAAAGCTGGATTGCTGGGTGTACTTTGGAAGTGCGCTGGAACTAGGGAACAGAAGAGGCCTTCCATTGCAGTGTGCTATAGAGTGATGGGCTTCAGCATCCTCTTCATACAGTAGCTTGAAAAATACCGCTGTCAGATTTCAATATAAAATCTTAACTGCAGAAAATAATGGAAAAGGATGGCCGACTTTATCTCTGAACATTGAATGACATAAATGCCCAGCTGCTGTCCTCTATTTTGTTAGTGGACCAATGTTCTACATAATTAGGATGTAACCACTTAAGTACTCAAAGGGCATAACAATCAATCTCAGTGCTGTCACTACAGTATTACCTTCTGCAAATGTTATTTTGTTGTGTCCAATACCAGTTTTTAGTGAGATATATCTAAGGCACATAGTGAAAAAAAAATTGGTAAATTATCCAAGTTCCTTTCAGTGTGAAAGGAACTTGGAAATAATACATCTTTATAGAATGAGACCTCATATTGGGCCAGGTTTTTTATTGAAAAAAACTTCACCTTGTGTTGACTTAAAAAAAAAAAACATGAAGGCACAGAACCACTAACTCCATGATCCCAGAAGGAATGAGAGTAATAACACTGAGTCATAGATTCCCAAAGAATGCAAACATCTTTCCCCTGCAGCAGCAGAATTACAAGATGTTCCACGTGATACACTTCAAGGCTTCCAGGGGTCCTGAGTGGAACAGGCAAATACTCAGAATCGAGTTACACCTTTGAAAGTGCTGGGATGCTACCAACTGCTCCCCACAGGTCCTGACCTCAGTGAGAGCAGGGACACTGGATGCTTTGGATTCAACAACTCACTCAATTCATAACAAGGGAGTAAAGAGTCACACTCCAGAGCCAGGACTAGCAACTGTTATAGGGCTGCGTGCATTTACAAGGTGAGAAAATAAGCACTGAAGGAAAAAGTAAAGGGTGGAGAGATGGAAAAGGGAGAGGGGGTGGCAGAATGGGAAAGGAAGAGCAGGAAAGCAAGACAGGGAAACTTGATGAGATGGGATAGAGACGAGACGGGGAATAGTAGGTGTATGTGGGATTCTATCAGAACTCCCCTCCACCTCCAACTCTCCCCACCCGCTCCCTTGTCCTGTGGATGGCCCCGGCTGGGCAGGTTGAGAAGCAGGAGAACTTCAGGCCATGCCCATGGTGTCCAAGGGGCTTCCTGAGACAATTTTTGTCTTCACCCTAATTGATGTTCTTATTTCTCCTCTCTTCTTTTGTTTCCTCTCTGTATATTCCTTTTCCCCTCCCCCTTTCCTCTTCACAAACACACTGGGGTTTTCTGTCATTTGGAATGCCTGCAGAGAAGACCATGTATTTTTTTGCACCCTGGAAAAATGTATTAACACACGGGATGGACATCTGAGTCTCTCTCTGGAGCCACTCTGCCGCAACAGCTGCCGCTCTTCTTTCCTCCCAGGAGGCTGGGTGGGACGGCCAAAACCACTTCCCTGTGATAGACGCCTAAACTTACCAGAAAGACCTTTTACCCCAGACCTTTAGTTCCTCTTTCCGTCTCAGCCTTTCTCAGCCTTTCTCAGCCTTCTGCTTCATTAGGTTTGAGTTTTGTTTGTTTTCTATCCCAGGGCATTTTGGGCTGGAATGCAAGGCAAACAGTGTAACTAGAGCACCAGAGAGGACTGAGATCCAAGGCAAACTGTGACGTGTCTCCTGCATGCATTCTCTCACCATCAGGCAATTGCTGTCCTTAAGGATGAGCTCCTTGGTTTACTGTATGCAAATTCCAGTTCCACCACTTTCTTACTGGGCGGATCTTAGGTATGCTAATTAAATCTCAGTTTCCCCTTCTGGGGGAAAAAAAGTCAATAATTCCTTCCTCAAGGATTGTTGTGAAGATTAAATGGTATACTTTCTGTAAAGGGCTCAGTGCTACTTCTGGCACAATGTGAGTTATTATTATTGTACTACTCAGTAGAGGATCATTGTGAACAACCTTCACAGAGCAGTATTCTTGCCTGCAGAAGGGTGAGTGTAGTTTCTGTTGTTTCTCTTCCAGGGACTTGAACCAGGTTAAAGCCCCAGAAATGTAACCTGTTAGGACTCAGCACAGCTGAGAGTCTAGAGACCCCAAGGTCCACTGATAGGTGAAGGGTTGGTCTGTTACCAGCCAAAAGCAGCAAGCCAGGATTGCTACAGTTGTTTTCCTTAAGAGTTCTGCCAGTTCAGATTGTGAAAGCACTGTGTAAGAGCCTGGGGTTTTATAACCAGGTAAGACAATAAAAACACTTGTTTGTGTACTTTCTTATTGACTTTGGTGTTGATGGGTCTTCTGGGAGAAAATAAAAACAGGGAAGTATTAATGCCATCTCTATCTCCAACACAATTTTAAGATTTTATATATCCTAAAATGTAGTATATATTATCTTTTCTTCTGTCAATATTTATCTAATACTGCCTTCCACCCACAAGCTGACATAATGCAGGGCCTAGATAGTTTGGCAGGAGAGTGTGGATTTGGTATAATCATCAGCCTGAAGATTCCAGCTATTGTTTAAAGAGGTGGGAAATGGTTTGCCAGGTCTTATGGAGAAACCCTGTGGTGTTCTAGGGTCAATGATGGGTCGCTGGCCTTCTGGGTCACGCATGCATCAGGCTGACTGAGGCATGCCTTGGCATCGCAGTGGTGCTGAGGCCTCATCTCTCAGCTCCCTCCATTCTGCATCAGGCTCCTCCCACGCTCCCAGATCTCATTTCTACAGGCTGGGGGCAGGAGCAGGAGAGTGGAGGGCAGTGATCTCTTTCTACCTCATTTCTAGAATGGGCCCTTAACACTCGGTTGTATAATGGGTCTGAGGGCCCCCAGGTTACCTAAATATAAACTATATAGAGAGATATCTATGCATACAGATGAACAGAGACTAGGAGAAAATCCCTTCATAAGTTAGAAAGTTCATTTTGTGGATGATTTTCTTTCTTTTTACTTTGCTCTTCTTGCTATGATATTATTTATGAAAAAAGAAACATTTAAAACTCAAGAAAAGGGATAAAACCAGATTCTCTCATCTGCAACATATGCTTCTTCTGATGGTGTTCTTTGGAACAGGAATTTTTTCCAGAGACTATATTTCTGTCAGCTTTAGTTAACTTAAACTTCTTATCTTCCCTTCTGAGACTGGTGATGCACACCTCGCTCTGTCAAGCTGATTGAAGGCATTAGGGAAATTTGGTAACAAGAGCTACACAGGCTGAGCTTCATAAACTCCTGGCTCCCAAAATCAGGCCCTGCTGATAAAGTGAGCTCCTGCTGGTTCAAAAAGGACATTCCAGAAAGAACCTAGGTTTGGGGAACTGAGGACATGAGTCACTAACTTGAAAAATCCAGATAGCTTATAAACAAAACTTCTTAAGAGCAGGACAAAAAAACATTGAGTTGAAGGAAATTTTTCAATTTCAGATTATATGGCACTTCTGAATGGAAGTAGCAAAGATTTATTGTTTTTACAATAATAAGATAGTGTCCTCCAAAACAGATGAATAATTGGAATAGTTCATGAAAATAATCTGAAGGACATCATAATAAAGATGGGAAGTTATTTCCTGTTTTTAGCTGGCTTGGCCTGAAGTCCTCCCTGCCATAAAAATGTGATGTCTAGCTTTTTATCTGGCTCTCAGAGTCCATTTATGCTATAAACTCATTCCTCTTCAACACACTCTTACCTAAACCAGATTATTCACAAGGATGTTTATAGTTGTTGATCTTTCATGGAGTTGATCTTACCACCCACAAATTATCTTTGGATGTTATCATCTTCTATTTCTATTTCACTCATGTGCAACCTGTATTCTCACTGGAGCTGCGAGTTTGCTATTTAATTCTCCCATTTAATTACCTCTCTTTCTTCTTCTGATAAACGTCTGTCAGCTACAATGGCAAGCTCATTCATTCATTCAACAAACATTATTGAGTAACACTGTTCCTGAGGAGTATACACTGAGAAAGGAAATAATTTCATAAATAATTATACACAGTACACAAACGATTTAAGGCAGGATGTGGCACAAGCTAGAGGAATCTTGAAGAGGATTCTTTTCATCCAGGAAATGAGTTGCAAGATGGGAAGAATATGCTAAGTATGAGGAACCATATGAACAAAGTCAGAAGGAAGAAAAGCACAGAATACGGTGAGCCATAGTTGAAGTTTTTGTGCTGAGTAAGGTGCATGCTCAGAGCATTCATTTGGAATTGATAAGGGAATTCAAGAGTTAAAGATTTTAGCTTCAGTCTTAGTTGATAGGCTTCAGTGATTAGTGCATGTAGAAGGTTGTTATTCCAGGAACTGGAATGCATGACCTACCTCTGTGACTCCAGGAGGTTGACAATTCAACCTTTGTGCCCAGGGGGTCTGCAAGTGATGGAGATGGTATCTGAGCCATTGTGTTCCAGGGAGGGAACTCTAAGATGGGAAGGTTTTTTTGGAGGGTTTGAAAAGAGAAGCGACTTGATCTGATTTAAAATGTTATGGCTACTCTGGCTGGCTGAACAATTTTTTACTCTAGAGATTCTGACTCAACTGGTTTAAGGAAGGGCCTTAGATTTTAAAGTGTGCCAGACTGAGAACCACTGCTCTAGAGCATGCAGTGTTCTCACATTCAGTACTTTAACTTGAGTCTCACAAATACCCTGTGCAATGTGGAGTTGGAGAAACTAAGGCTCAGAGAGGCTTAAGTGACTTCCAAAGGCCCATGGCCTGTAAGGGATATATCTAAGACATGCTGAGAAATTGTGGCTCAGCATTAATCATCACTCATCTCTTTGGCCATACAGGGTGGGCAGAACTGGGGTGAGGGGACTGATGACTCATGAAGAGTATTGCTTTGGAGACACCTGATACCTACCTACACCTCCAATGGGGAAAAAGAGATGCTTCCCCTTACCTCAAGCTACAGTGAGAGGAGCTTTCAGGGAAACACTTGGAGAACTTGATACAAGTCACCTAGGGCCTGGGGGAATACAGGCACCTGGGATCTGATACTTCCTGAGAAATCAAAGGTAAACTAGAGAGAGAAAGAGACACTGGAAATAGGTTGCATTTTTACCAACTGTGGATACATAAATTTTTCCCAGGGGAAGGTATACTGATGTTGGCAATTTACTTTGTTATGCACCACAAATAAGATAGATTAGTGGGCTGATAGAGGGATGGATAGATATGTGATAAATCAAGTGTGGAAACTGGCTAAATGTTCCCAGGGGTGGTGGGAGAGAATTCTTCCTGAAGTATTTTATTTTGTAAAAGATTTTATTTATTTATTTGTAGAGAAAGGGGAAGGGGAGGAGAAAGAGAAAGAAACATTAACGTGTGGCTACCTTTCACAAACTCCCAACCAGGGACCTGGCCCACAACTCAGGCATGTACCCCGACCGGGAATTGAACCAGTGATGTCCTGGTTTGCAGGCAGGCATTCAACCCACTGAGCCACACCAGTCAGGACCCCAAAGCTATTTAAAAGGGAGTCTAGCTAAGAAGGCGGTAGGGCACCCAAGGGATCAAGCAGAGAATTGAACCCTCAGAGCCCAAGAGCTGAGGGCCAGAGCCATAGGTGGTTTGCCCAGAATGGCCTTCACGCATGTCATGCATCTGAGACAACTGAGAATCTGCACTGCCCTTCCCACCAAAACCCAGACCTGTGGGAATCTAAATGCTGAATCAGTGAGTAGTTAAGGTGGAGGAGGTGGAGATGAAAAAGGGAAAATATTAAAAAAGTGGTCTGTGCCTCATACCCCTTTGCAGCCTTCTGCCTGAAGCAGGACTGAGCTTGGGAAAAGGAAAAGCTTTACCTTAGAATAAAGTTGGCATGGCATGCATGAAATTTTACTCAGGATAAAAAAAGAAGTGTCCTCAGAGAATTTGAAGAGACAGTGGATTAAATATACAATAAATCTTGTGCTCGCATCCTACTCAAACCTGCTTATTCAGTAACATGCACATGCCTAAAAAAACCCACCCCTGGATGAAAGAATCCTGATTTATGGTCACATCACATGCCCATTTATTCCATAAATACTTATTGAGTACTTGCTATGTGCCAGGCATTGGTATAGATAGTGAGGATATAATAGTGAATCAGATAAACATTTGATATAAATAGTGAAGTTTTAAAAGACACAGAGGGTAATGGTAACATTCTACATCTTAAGATTTGAGTTACATAGGTGCATGCATTTATGAAAGTCAGAATTCAATATTTATTTACAGTTTTCTCTTTTGATGTACAACTTACATATAATGACATGAACACATATTAAATACATGTTTGCTGAGTATTGACAAATGCATGATCGTCACAGCTCTGCCTCCTTCCATTGTCAGCAGATAACCTTGCCTCCTACTTCACTGAGAAAATGCAAGTCACAAGACAGGCCTTCCCTCAACTTACAAATGTATGTGCAGTCATATTATCCTTTCTTCCTTTTCTTCTGTTATTGTGGGCAGCATGCTCCTACTCCCACTGGAGGCCAGTTTCTGCCCCTGGTTTTTATATCCTATCCCCTTCAACCTTCTCAGAGACCTTGCTCTATTGGATCATCCCTCTCATCCTGAACTCACATGTCAAGGAATGAGCTGGATTCTCTCTCTTACCTCAGAGTCCTTACACACACCATTTCTTTTTCTTGGAAATACTTTGCTACTTCATGTATTATAATTCTCACTCACCCTTCAGGTCTTTGCTTGAATGCTATTTATTTAGATGTGACTTCCCTGACCATCTCTCCCACAGCATAGTAGAACCTACTGAACTTTCTTTTTCATGACACTCAGCTCACCTATAATTTCTTGTTTTATGTATGACTTGCCCACAAGACAAACACTGTCTTGTTAACTGCTATACTTCCAGTACTTAGCTTTAAACCTGGCATATTAAATACTTATTGCTGTTCCCTGACTGGTGTGGCTCAATGGATTGAGTCCTGGCCTGCGAACCAAAAGATGGCTGGTTCAATTCCCAGTCAGGGCACATGCCTGGGTTGCAGGCCAGGTCCCCAGTTTCACATGTGTGAGAGGCAACCGATTGATGTAGCTCTTATACATCAATATTTCTCCCTCTTTCCCTCCCTCACCATCCCTCTAAAGTAAATAAAATCTTTTCAAAAATAAATATTTATTGCTGAAGAAAATAATTAATGAAAATTTAATCATATCATCTGTACCATGTAGTATTTTTTAAAATGTCTTCTTTTTCTTCATAGATTTTAATTTTTTTTTATCCTAATAGCTATTGCAATCTTTTCTGGGATTGCATTAAAAAAGAAGGGCACTATAGCATTTTGTTCTTATAATTCTGTTCTTTAAATTTATTATTTATTCTTTAAATTTTTACTTACTGATTTTTAGAGAGAGAGAGAAACATCGATTTGTTGCTCCACTTACTCATGCATTAACTGGTTGATTCTTGTAAGTGCCCTGATGGGGAATTGAACCTACAACCTTGATGTATCTGGATGACGCTCTGACCAGCTGAGGCACCCAGCCAAGGCTTGCTCTTAAAATTTAAATAAATGTCCTGTACATAGAAGATTCTCAATAAGAACTATTCCACAATCATAAAAATCCTGCCCTATGGAAAAATCCTTAGAGATTCTGTATTTCAATTTCCTCAGGAAGAAAACCCAACTACTGCAGCATTTTTAGACTGAATTACTAGTGCATTATTATTATTTATGTACTTATGTTTAGAGACCCCCTGTGGGGAGACATTCTAAAAATTCAGAGTTCTTTCTATCTGAAAATTGTGAAGGAGGATGATCATCAGTTACTTTACATGACTAAATCGTGTTAAAAGCTTAGTTTTTCTTGGCAAACCTAAACTCACTCAGTATTCATTTATAGGCACGAGGGACCTAACATTACATGAATGCTCATGTATGTAACACTCATACACACATGTGCCATTTAAACACATAAATATGTATATACCTACATATATAATTTGAGGAGGCAGAAGAGTTAAAAATTTATTTTAAAATGAGAGATCTCCTTACAAACAGTTTCTACTGCCAGAGTTGATGTAAGTCTTGTTGACCAACTAGAGCATCTGTCATGAGGTCAAAGTACATTATCAACCCAAGTACAGTTAGGGGTTTTACAGACCAGCCTTTTTCTGGAGTTCTATCCAAATAAAACTAACAACCTAGACTAGCCAAAAAGGCAATTCAAGTCTTGACCGATGTCCCCTGAACATGACAAAGCAAACTTCTTAAAAATCCTCTTTCCCAGCTTGAATTTCCACGTTCATCACTCCCCCAAACAGGAGTCACCTATCCTGTCTTCTTTCACTTCAGTGTAATTTAGCTTATGCAGGTTCTTACTTACCTTCCTCACCCCGGAGCTGACCCGCGGGCGAGAACGCTTCCGGGCAGGGGCACCCGGTGGAGGGTGTGCCCGAGGAGGTGAGCGCGGGGCATCTGCCAGGCGCAGCGAGTGCGCGGGTTCAGGGAAGTCCCCTTCCTCAAGGGGCTAAGGAACTGGAGCTAAAAGGAGCAATGAGTAAGTACAGTGGAAAAAAATAACATCCCAGACCTTACATAATTATCTACCGGGAGGTAGGATACCGACTCTGGGTAAAATTAGGGATTGTGAGATAGGCGGGATCCGTCTGGAGGTGAGCCTAGGACCTGGACCTGGGCAATGAATGATCTAATTTGTAAGTATTTGTGGAGCCTTCTGACTAGTGTCTCTCGGGTGGCTGTTCTGTCGTCTTTTCCTTTACAGTCTCGGCTGACTTTTAGCTGGGTAACATAAGGATCATATGTCCAGCGGGCAGATAAAAACTCTTACAACTTTACTAAAGAGGTGGTTTGGGATAATGACGTGGTCTCTGAGGTCCCTGAAGCTGGAGCCCGGGTGTCCTGGGTCCCAAGTGATCCGGTACCCCTCCAGTTTAACAGTCCACAGGGGCAGTTATGTCCAATACGAAGCGCTGAGTTGCAAGGGCACCTGCTCCTAGGACTGTGCCCCTGGCCTCAGTCTCCAGGTGAGCCACTCGGGGCTCCACGAGAGTCCGCGCAGGCCGTCAGTAGTGGCCCCGCCCACTGCCCCTCTGGGGAGCCCCCCCCCCCCGCTACTTGTCCTCCTTCGCGCCGCCATTTTCGGCTACGCCTCCCGCACATTTAGACTCTTCTCGGCTTCCGTCCCAGATGATCCCACCCCAAGGGTGCCACCGCCTCCTCCATCTCTCGGAGCTGGAGCCTCTTCCTCGGCCAGTGGCGTAGCCGGACTCTGAGTCAGTGCCAGGCACCTAGGGGCGGAGGTCCGCAGCCTGGTGTAGACCCGAGCGGGGGGGCCATGGAGAAAGCGGCCCGAGGCGCTCTCCAAACTGACTGAGAGGGCCCGTTGCGGCTGCAGGCGCCATGGACCGAGCCCCAGCAGACCAGGTACGGGCCGGGGGCTGGGGGTCGCCGCTTCTTCCCAGGCGGGCCCCTGACTCCGAGTGCGGGCCCAGACTGCCGGAGCCTTGGGGTTCTCGAGGGCGCAGACCTGCTTCGCCTGGGAGCCTGGAGGCGCTCCGATCTCCTGCATTGTTCCAGATGCCGCCTCGGGCTTGGGGACGTTTTCCATCCCTGGTTAGCAGCCCCCACTCCAGGCTGGGAACTCGCTTTTGCCCCTCCTCCCTGGATTGGTGAAAGGGGCCAGAGGACTCCCGAGTTGTCCGTGCTCTCCCAAGAGGGTTTATAACTTCTAGGGAATCTACCCCCAGCCCCTCTCCATTCTCTTCAGTTTTGGAATGTGTTTTTGAAGGTGGAAAGGCTTTTGAGGGCTTCTCACCCAGAGAGACTGTCCGAACGTGTGACAATTACCGAGAAAAAGGGGGTTATGGACTTTTTAGGTGTACGTTCCATTGAGCGAAGCATTGTTTTTACAATGGTTTTGGGGAGGTGTCCTTTTTAAGATATGAAATACTACCATTTCTCCTTGCTTTCCTACCTAACCACTTTGCAAGAATTAGTGATTTTTAAAAAGTAAGTTTAAATCTTAAGGGTATAGGGCTCAAAGCATAAATTCATTTCCGATCCCAAAGTAGTCCCATTAGTGTTCTGTTTTTAATTGCACCACCTAATTCTTGATTATCCATGTTAATAGGTGCTGAAAATTAGGGCTTTTACGTTGTCATCACAACATAAAAAGTAATCTAAAATAATGTTTTATTTCCCCCCAAAAGTTTTAAGTATTTTCCATTCTTGAAACCTTTGTGAAATGACATAAATTGAGGTCGAAGTTTTTTCACTACATTCCCCTCTACAGAGGAAGGCCTTGCCCAGTGATGAACTAGGCTAACAGATGAAGGAAAGGGAGAGATTTGTGATTTGCCTAATTATTTTACAAATGGATAATTAGCACCTTAATAAATGATACAGGGTTTACCAAATTCTTCTGTATGATTGATTGTATGTTGCTAATCAGAGCTCGTTTTGATTTTGAAATTGGGCTCCTGCAGGCAAAGCACAGTTTCCTATTTGTGTATATTTGTTTTTACAAAAATTTTAATAATAAAAAAGCTTTATGTGAATATGACTCTGAAAACACAAGTAAGTTTATGAAACAATACATGTACTTACCAAAGCAAAATTGATTGGAGCCTCTTGGCAAATACATACAGACTTTTCCTGTTACTCAGAGTATCCTATATAAAGCCTATATCTAATTTAATGAAAACCAAAATTTTAGGGCATCTATTTAAAATGCCTGAGATTTCAAAGCCTGACAAGTGAATAGGAAGTTTTCTTGAATGATTTTCTTGTATGCATGTCACTAATGAAAGGGTTCAGCATTTTACCATGATGCCAGAACTATAACCAGTAAAACTACCACCTGTATACTTATGGTTTCTTTCATCCTAGAGGAAATGTAATTAACTATTTAGATGGTAACCTGTGTGTGATTATCTTAACAGCAAGTGCTGTGAGCAGATTATCTGAACTAGATAGCCTCTTCCTTTTTCATTCTATGTTTTCCAAAGTCCACACCTATTTAAAATCCTGTAGAAATTTAAGAATTTATAAAAAATGTAGTTTTCCTTTGAAGAATTCCCCCCCCCCCCCCCCGTACTTCCTGCCTCTTCCTCAGCCTAATGCCAGGTAACAGAAAAATTTCAAATGAGTTTATGAAACCGAACCTTGTCTTCCGTTCACACACACTCTCAGGATACTGAGATCCAAAGGAGCGGTGCTACTTCACTTAGTTCATGCTGTAGGCAGTTAAGTTACTTCAAAGGGTCTCTGGATGGCCTGGAAAGCTGGTGCTTCATTTTATATTAGCATTTTTCTGGGGCAAGATTCTGGTATTTTCATAATATTCTCAAAGGGATCCATCATTGAAAAAGGGTAAGAACCATTGACTTAATGGTAGATTGGGGTTAGAACTGAGATTTCTCAACTTTGGAGTTCTCGATTGTTTCCACTACACCAGAGTAATGTAATGGTTTTCCCAGGTTATTAGGGGTATACTTTTATATTTTTTTACTAATGAGGTGAATTTAGATAAGTAAAAATCATGAAAAATATGTGATAATGTGTGAAATTTCCATTTTTGCTCACAAAAACGTTTCTTTTTCACCAGCGTTGGTTTATATTCAGAATTCCTGGGACTGCCTATGGCATTATAACTTATTATGATACTGAAGTGGTTAGCAATTAATATAAATTAGGGTTTTTTTAAAAGTATTTAATACAGACTTTCTGCATTTCATCTTAATCTGATTGAAACCCCTGGAATATTGCACAGTGTAACTTCTTAAAAAATCTAAGTGTGTTTTTCCTGAAAGTATTCATGTTGCTGTTTTGGATTACCTCTTATTTTAAACAATATATAAAAATTTGTGATTAAAAGGATAAATTGTGTATATTTGGTCAAGATTATAATAAAAAGTTGATCAAAATTATAAAAACTAAGTTACTAAGAATACATTCTAGATAATAGTCCTAATTGCAATAATGACTATGTGAAAGAATCTTATAACTAAAGGAGAATTTCAGCAATAATCTCCTTTAGCAAGACTGTTTTAAATAAAAACAAGTAGCTGAATTTTAACTGCCAGAATTAGATGTTCTAAGAACAGATATGACTTGGTGTAATACAGTTTTTTGTCCTTCAAAAAAAAAATGCTGGTATAAAGGGATGTGAAGAATAAATCATGGAGTTCATTTGGTTTATAAAGTCTTTAGTGTTTCTATTTTTAGGAAACCTAAGAGTGTTCTGAGATTAAAAAGATATAGATAATGGCTTTAGAAGTGACGAAACACTTGAGGTTTATGGCCTCTTTTGTATTATCAAATAGTGTAAACATTGGCTTAATTTTTAGTATATCAACATTGAATAGGTTTTTTTAAAAATTTACAAAATTATTGATTTCCAATGTCTTTAATTGTTATAAAAGCAAATGTGTAACAAATAGATATGACTTCACACAAAGTACAATTTACCAATAAATAGAAAATTATCTGGCTTATAATTCTTTCCTTTAATGTGTAAACTTCAAATAGCACTGCAACTTAAACATATTCAAAATAAGTTACTACATAATGTAATACATAATGCTTATAGTTTGCCTTTATAGACATAAGCTAGTGATCTGTCTTAACAGATTTTTAAAATAATACTTTTATAATTTTAAAAAAACAATAATTCTCATTTAGTGAAAATACCATTTGGAAAATTTAAAAGATATTTTCCCCTAAACCCTTAGTTCAAAGAGGAATTTAAAAAATAGAACTATATGCTTTCAAAAAGGTAATAACATACTACATGTGAAAACCTATGGGATGTGGCTGAAGCTATACTCTGAGGCAAATGTATAGTGTGAAACATTTTAAAGGGAAAATAAAAACTAAGCATCGAAGGCAAGGAGTTAGGGGGAAAACCCCACAAAAGCAAAAGAGGAAATAAATGTAAAAACAATAAAGTAGATAATCCAAAACCTAATATTAAATTTAAGAACTTTTTTAGAAAAGTGTCATCATATTTTAATAGGATTAGATACATACAGTCTGTTTTAAGAAAGGGGTAAATGTCTGGATAGTAAAGCAGCTGGACAGACCTTAAGTTAAATACTTTGAAGTCTTGTAAAACGTACATATAACTATTGCAGTTTATTTTGGCAAGTGGTTTACTTTCAGTATAAGCTATTCCAATAAGAAAACAATACAGCCAGCAGGTATTTTTTTAAGTATTAAATTTTTTTTCATTCAGCAGACATTTGTTTTACCTTTGGCCATGGGAGAAAAAATACCTTAATATTTGATATATTTCTACCTTCACATAGAATGTGGAAGGTTTCCATGGTCATATTTTTTCTGTAGGTGTGTGGTACATATTGGAATTTCACTGTAGGAGAGTGTGTTACTTTGTTCTAGTTTCAGTTTTTTGTATTAAGTGGGTGTCATTCTTCTGTTGCTTAATCTAGGAAAATTATTTGCCCTCTTTTGGAGGTTCTGTCTTAGAGCAGTTTAGTATGCATTTCCTGCTGATAGGAGCTTAGTAGGAGTATTTGCACGTTTTCACTAAACCTGTCATACAGTGCTCTTTCCAGAATATGTGCTCAATGCATACTTATTGAATTACATAGGCTGTCAGTGATCCGAATGTATTTGTTTAATGAGAAAGTGTTTTAGCCTCAGCTGGTGTGGCTGAGTGGATTGAGTGCCATCCTGGGAACCGAAAGGTTGCTGGTTCTGTTCCCAGTCAGGGCACATGCCTGGGTGTGGACCTGGTCCCCAGATAGGGGCATGCAAGAGGCAACCTATCACTGTATCTCTCACACGTCGGTATTTCTCTCCCTTCCTTTCTCCCTCCCTTCCCCTCTCTCTAAAATAAATAAATGACATATTTTTAAAAACCTCTTTTAAACAAGATTTTTATAGTTTCATGTTTGAATAAATTCTTGGATTTTCTAGATTATTCACATCAAAGAGGTTTTATTAACATTGGTTTTAATATATGCAAAATTTTAATTAGCGTAGGACTGTTTTCAAATACATGTTTCTGGGAAATTAAGATTTTTCATTAATTTGGAAAAATCAATTTCTGAGAAAGATAATTTTACTACATAGTTTTTTAAAGCAAGTAGTACAGCAGTTTGTTCTTTGTAGTTTAAAATTAAACCATATCTGTATTTTTTTTGCTTTAAGAAGACAGCTCTGTGCTATAAAATTTGTGATTTCTAAAAAATAGATTTTGGCAAAAGTAGAGAGACCAGACACCGAAATTCAAACTGAAGAACATTGTATGAAGTAACTAGTCTAATTTTCTCATAATGTTTTTGTTTTCCACTGTATAAGACATTTTTCTTTGATTTTATACAAATACTGCCAAAATCTGTTGCTTACTTAACATATTATCTATATGGGCTTTATTATGTGAAATTTTAAGAATAGCTTGGAGTCTTAACAGTACTTTTCAGGCCCAAGATCAGCAAATGCACATTTTGGTGTATGAAACTGAAGGCCCTAAAGTCACAGTAAACAACTTTTAAAAACCATAGAGTTGTAACTCTAGAGGACAGTTTGCCAGTCTGTTCCTGCTAGTGACATCTTCTGTTTGTACAGCTGTTGACTGTACAGCAGCTTCTCTTTTTTGCTGAACACAAAGGATCATTTTAGTGTTTGTGAATTTTATTGTTGAACTCTGGTATCTAGAATTGCACTTAGAATAGAAACCAATACAAACTTTAATATTTAAGGGTATAGAGGGGTGGGCAAAAGTAGGATTACAGTTTGTGAGTACACAGAACAGTTTATTATTGTATTAGTATTTACTTACTCATTATTGTATTATTTTTTATTAACCTGTTTTTGCCCACTCCTGTATACTGTGTATTTGTAGACAGTAGTTATAATTTATGCATGACACTTTTAGAACAGTGGCTTCCCTAAGTTCCTCAAAGTATTAAATAAAAGTACAGATGAAACTAGGTATTAAAAACTTGGAACTTTTGACTTGAGCAAGAATTCCAATTTGTTGTTTCAAAAGTAATTTATGATTTAGTATTTTTGGGGGGTATCAAGAAAAGTGCTATTTAAAATTTTTTATTTCTTTATAATTAATGTTGCTTCTTTTTTCACATTAGACAAAGAACTTGATGTAACCATATTCCTTACTTTAAAACAAATCAGTTTCTTCTTGTCCAGATTTATAAAACTGTTCAGAGTTCTCATATATTCAGAAGGACTTTTTGTTTTAAAAAATCCTAAAAAGTTACGTTTTAGTACAGTTTAAGTGTGATTTAAGTTTTCTTATGTATATGTATGAACTACATAAAGTGAGTTTCAATGATCTGTGCCTTGTTGTTGAACATCAGCTTTTTTCCTTATTAAGGAAACTTTTATTATCTTGATTATTTTATGCCTCATACAAACAAGTTCGGTGTTCTAGCGACTATCATAGTGAAAATTACTGACTTATTCTATTATTATTTGAAGTTTTTGCCTCCTGTGTTGACATGCAAGAAATTGAATTTAGTTCACAGCTATTTGTAAGTAAAATTACTGCATCTACTTCAGATAAAAGTAGACTTCAAAGTTCAATTAGATGGGAGAAAGAATAGTGAGTTAATACTGTGATACAGTTCAAATGATTTTCTCCTCTCCCTTTTTACAAGCACTTCTGAATTTATAGTGGAATCTTTTTAGAAAAAAATTTTTTCAATTAAGGCTATATAGCAAGTATATCAAGTCTTATTTTTAGATTTTCTTGGATTTTTTTTCTGGGAAACATGCCTGAAATTTATTCTGAGAACTGTGTCTTGGTGAGAGCATCTAATAAATGCCATCCTAGTGTGTTTGTTGGAGAAAAGTTCTTTTTAATGATGACATTTTTTAAATTTGTTGTTATAAATATAACAGATGCAGAAGAAAACCTCCTAAACCCAATGTACAGCTAAGTGAATTATTGTAAGATAAATACTTTGTAACTGTCACCTAAGTTAGTATATAGAACTTTGCCAAGTACCCCAGAAGCTCTCCAGGAACCTCCTCCCAATCATAGCTCCTGCTTTCCTAACTAATTCCTATCCCAATTTATGGATCTTACTTACTTTTCTGAATTGTTTTGTCACCCATATGTGCATCCTTAAATACTTTAGTTTTTTAAATATGTCTTTTAAATCTCTAGATTAATTATAAGATACAAAATGGGCCCTGGCCTGGTAGCTTCAGGTGGCAGAGCGTTATCTTGATATGCTAAGGTTGCAGTTGGGACCCCTGGTCACAGCACATATTAGAATCAACCAATAAATGCATAAATAAGTGGAACAACAAATTGGTTTTCGTCCCTCGCTTCCTCCTTCCCTCTGTCTCTTAAAATCAATTTTAAAAAAGAAATACAAAATAAACTAAAATGGAGTACATATTCTGAATTATTTTAGTTTGCTCAGTTTATCTCCTAGGAAACCAAAGTACTTATTTTTTCCCCTAGTTTAAGTGTGAACCAGAAGTTTTCTTCCCCTTAAGTCTTTTTAAAAAAATTCATCTTAGACATTTTCCTTCCTTTTAATTTAACCATACTAATGTAATTTTCTGAAATGGTCAGAAAGAGACTTTTTTAGACTATTCTAACAAATATAATTATCCTTCAGAATGCTGTTTAATGATTTCCCCCCCATAACAAAATTAGTTTAAAACACACTGTTTCATATCTGAAGGGCTAGATTTCGTACCATCAGCTTTATTTTGGGACTTTGAGGTATGACTGATTTCCTTGTACTCTTGATTGTTTTAACAGCTTTGATTACATAACATGTGAATTTCATAGAAACGTAGTAGCCTTTGATAAGTTTTTTTCCCTGTTTTATTTAATGACTTTGTCTAATCACATTTATTTATTTTAATTTGTTGTTACATTCCCTTGGATGTTTTGTGAGTACTGAGGAGACCTGACTAGTGTTTGTAAAAACTGACTCATATTGTTGTATCATGAATTTATGTTATTTAAGTATTTTGCTCTTTTGTTAATCATGTGTTTTACTTTCTCTTTGAAGAATGTCAAGCTGTCAGCTGAGGTGGAGCCATTTATTCCCCAGAAGAAGAATCCTGATACGTTTATGATCCCTATGGCACTCCCAAATGATAATGGAAGTGTTTCTGGTGTAGAACCAACTCCAATTCCCAGCTACTTGATTACCTGTTATCCATTTGTACAGGAAAACCAGTCCAACAGGTAATTTGTTGATTATTTTCTTTTCTGGTTGGGGGAGCAAAGGGTAGGAAATATAGAAGTTGATGAAACACACTACTTAATTTTTTTCCTTTTGTAACTTGTAAACATGAACCATTTCTCTGTTTTTTTAAGAGTAAGTAAAATCAAATGATGTGGAATTTCAAAATTTATTAGCATAGTTTATTTTGTCACTCTTTAAAAGGATATGGAGTTCTTTGGATATACCATATTTGCCATGCATGACGCACACCCATGTTTTGTGCCCATTATGCATGGGGTTGTTCTGCCCGTGGTGTGTAATCACTGTACCCAGGTATAGTGCACGTCCTTATTTTTTCCTCAAAGATTTGGGCAAAAAGTGCGCATTACACACTGCAAAAAACAGTATCTCATAATAAGTAACTGAAATTTGTTTGAAATAAATTGACTTAAATGGAGGAATGAATTACTCAGAAAGAGGTAAACAGAAACCCCTTTTTGAGATCAAGCATCTAATCATACTTGCTAAGATAGTCTAGCATAAGAAGAAAATACCAAGGGATCAGTCCTTAACTTTGAAGCTTTTATGCTTGGTTAGCATATAACTCTAAACTCAGATTCTAGTTCTAAACTTAGCTTCTGTGCTATAGTCTGTAGGATGATTCAGCAAAATTATTGCAATTCAGGTAGTGTGTGACCTAGTAACCACTAGGGTGTAGCTTGAGATAGTCATGACAGCCTTTCTAACCCTGCTTAGATTGTCTGGCTGACTAGCACTTCATTGGTATACTTCATTTTATGGCTGTATAAAAGTAATCTTAGACTCTTTCAAGTTATATCACACACAGAAAATTGTACTTCTTCCCTAGCACCGTGGAAGAAACGGCTGAGGCCTCTACCCAGCCACCCCTCAGTGCTAAGGCAATCAGTGTTTCTTCATGTCTTTGACCCATTGTGACACACTGGTGCTGAGGCACATTCTTTGAAAAATTCTGGACATATGAGATATGAGACTGCTAAACAACTTTTTCAGAAATTAAATATTCAAGATAATAATCTGAAACTTAAAAAAACGAATAGATGTTATTTTTTAGAGAAGTTTTAGTTTACAGAAAATTGAGCAGACAATAACAGAAAGTTCCCATATGTTCCCCACCCCCTCCAAATAGTTTCATCTGTTATTAACACCTTGGTTGAGTGGTACATTTGTTACAACTGATGAACCAAAATTGATTCATTAATAACTAAAGTTGGTAGTCCACATTAGGGTTCATGTTTGGTGTTGTACAAGGGGAGACCCAAAAAGACCTTGGACTTTATTCATAAAAAATTGTGTATCCTCGCATGTTTCAGTCACCCTTAAAGTACTCCATTTGATGCAGTATACCTATCAAGATGTTTTTTCCACTGCTTAAAATAGGTTTTCAACTCATTGCTTTGATGTGCTTTAGTCCTCCTGCTGTGTGTTGTTTCACCTCTTCCACATTGGCAAAATTTCCCTTTAAGAGCTAGGGTGGGGCATGGGGGTTGTGCCATTTTTGGTCAAAAACTGCTGAACACAGTGTGGTGTGGGCAGGTGTACTTGTAAATCACCCATTACGAAATGGACAAATGTGTTCAAAGAGTCTTCAAAAACATTCACTAAAGCCAAATGCAGCCTCTCACAACAACGCTAGCTGGTACACTGATACAGGTGGGTTCCTAGAACACTCACCTAGCAGGGGTAGCCTGTACTGCAAGGGGCCTACCCTTCAGAAGATAATTTTGGTCTTATTTTGGGTCCCCCCTTGTACATCCTGTGGGTTTGGACAAATGTATATAATGACATATGTCCACCATTAGAGTTACAGTATCACATGAAATCGTTGCACTGTCCTAAAAATCCTCTGTTCTGGCTAGTCATTCATCCTCCCCTCCCAGACCCTTGAGACCACTGAACTTTTTACTGACCCCAGTACGTAGTTTTGCCTCTCTCATGTTGTGACATGGTTGGAATCATATAGTGTGTAGCCTTTTCAGATTGGCTTTCACTCGGCAATATGCATTTAGAATTCTTGCATATATTTTCGTGACGTGAGACCTCATTTCTTTTTCTTGCTGGATAATATTCCAGAAAGGGACATTTTTGCATCATATTCATCATCACTCAGGCTACAGTACAGGCTCATGGACTTCATCCTTTTTGGTGGTTGTGCACTCTGTAATCTGAAACTCTTAACAGTTTTTTGGGGATTGGGCAAGTAGTAGAAGCTAAGGGATCTGCCTCAGTTAAAACCTCTTTGAGTTATATGGACTGTGTCCAAAGTGATTTGTAAACTAATAATAGTATTTTTGTATGGGACAAAATGGCTAAGTGTGTATAGTATGGTAAATTTAATTTTACTTTCCTTACCAGACAATCTTTTGGGAATTCATGAGTAAGCTAGCTGATTATTTAAAAGTATTTTTAGAATCATGGCAGTGAACATTTTTCCATTTTGCTTTGTCATAGGAATAGTGAGGAAAAGCTCTACGCTCCAGTTCCCTATAACCCCTCATTCGTCAGCAGCAACCTTTTGTGAGGAGGACTGCTGAGACAAGAATCTTGCTGGTGCTTTATAGGAACTGTGCTAGAGGAAGCTCTAATGCTAGGAATAAGATGGCAGGGAACAGGCGTGCCTTTTCTCTTCTTTCCCTTGGACCTGAAGCCTGCTTCCATTGCCAAGGAGGGAAGCCAGGAAAAGAGCTGGACTTGGCCAAGTGTTTAGGGGAGTATGGGAGAGGAGTAGGAGACCCTGGGACTGAGCTAAAGAATGAGATGTGGAGGAATCAAATCACCCATTGTAATGATCACCTTACACAATGATCATCTTACCCTGCTCTTTGCAGAAGGCCGTCACAGTTACTAGCATTGGATAGGAACTTAGGACTCTTGGCAGATCCAGCAGGTAGGTGTTTAACTTTCAGTCAGCAATGTCTTGAGGATGTTGAAGGGATAGTTACAAATAACAGTGGTATATACTTTTAAAAGTTTGGAATATAGTAAAACTATCAGGTTGAATTCCTGTATACTATCATTTAAATTGTTATTACATATATAATAATCTCTGTAGCACAGGTGGCAAACTCAAGACCTGAGGGCCAATTCTGGCCCTCTACCTTGCTTTATCTGGCTTGGCACCTTGTTTCTACCCAGGGGCAGCGCTGAGCTCCTTGCCCCTAGTTAAGGAGTAGTTACATTTATACACTCCTAAAATTACATTCGGCCCTTTGAAGGTAACGGCAAGGCTGATGTGGCCCCCAATGAAAATGAGTTTGATGCCCCCGCTCAATAGCACAGAAATTGATAAGATCATAATTTTATCTCGTTTTTCAGAATTACTATGAAGCCACTGTTCTGTGTTTTCTTTATTAAAATGAATGAGTTGAGCCATTGCCAGTGTGGCTTTGTTGGTTGGAGTATCGTCCTGTAACCAAAGGGTTGTGGGTTCAATTTCCATTCAGGGTGCATGTCTAGGTTGCAGGTTCAATCCCTGGTTTGGGTGCATATGATCCCCAGTCCGGGTGCATGTAGGAGGCAATAAATCAATCTCACATGGATGTTTCTGTCCCCTTTCTTCTCCTTTCCTGTCTCTCTAAAAAGCAATGAAAGAATGTCCTCAGGTGAGGATAAAAATAAAATGAGTTGAGAGTTTGCTTTAGCATTACTCTCAGAATTGTCAATAGAATTATTCTCTTTTGATTTGGTTTTACAGACAGTTTCCATTATATAACAATGATATACGATGGCAACAGCCCAATCCGAACCCAGCTGGACCATACCTCGCCTACCCCATTATATCTGCTCAGCCACCTGTTTCTACAGAGTATACATATTATCAGCTGATGCCAGCACCATGTGCCCAAGTTATGGGTTTCTATCATCCTTTTCCTATACCTTATTCCAACACCTTTCAAGCTGCAAGTACTGTAAATACTATAACCACAGAATGCACTGAGCGTCCAAATCAGCTTGGACAAGTCTTCCCATTGTCCAGTTATCGAAGCAGAAACAGTAACAGAGGACCAGTGGTACCAAAAGTAAGTGACTGATTTTGATTGGCTTTTATGTTTGATATTTCTGCTGTTAATAATAGTGTAAGTGATTTGCACTTGTATTGATTAGCTTTTTATATTGAATTTACTATAAAACATTTCACTCACTATTAAAAAATAGTTAAGGGTATAATATTTATAAAATTTATAAAAAATTATTTATTATTTTGTTTCCTCATTCTCAATTGGTGATATGATTTATAGTCTTCAAGTTCCTTCAGAGAGTTTTACATAAACACAATGCACAAATATTTCCAAGTTATTTTAATTTAGTGATAAAAATTGCATAGTGTCACCGGTATTAGTAAGTGCTTAATGTGGATCCCTTGCTGGCAATGTTGAAGGACTAATGCATTTCAAGAGATTTCAGTCTCCAGAAATTAGCAGGAGGTAGTTATGGAAAAGAACTTTTGTTATTCTTTATATCTCTTCAACTTTTATTGTTTTTGTGAATTTTTAGGAGGAATACCATTTTGTTATTCAAAAGGTTGCTTTTCTATTGAGGCCTTACTGTCAAAGCAAATAGGAAAAATCATCTTTCTTAGAACTTTTGAGCTAATAAAAGGCAGTGTTACTTCTTAGATGTATCTTACTTCTGTGTCATCAAGGAGTTGGTGCTTTGCTAGATTCCTCTAGTCCAGATTGTTAATTGAAAAGTTTTTGTTGTCCTCTGGCATACTCTTTACAAATTAAAGTACAAACAAGCAGCAGAGGTTCTTTCGAAAGGCTTTTAGCCTTCATTAATGGGAACACCCTGGGTCAAGGGAAGTTTTGAGGGACCTCTAAAGATGAAAAGAAATAAATGTTGGGAATAAGATGGTAGTATATACCTTTCAGATGTTGAAGAGACATGATTCTTAGAATGCATTCCCAGCACTTGGAATGTTAAATTCAGAGTTCTATTTTATAAATTATGATTAGTGATAAATACTCATATTTTTTAAAAATGAAGGAAAGGATCAGCTTTTAATATTTTCTTTGGAAACTCCAAATCAGGAATTTTTTATACTTCATGCCTATCATGAAACCAAAATTTAGTCTTTGTATAAGTTACTACCCTTTAATTTATCCTTTTAAATAATAATTTATAATCCCTTTATGACATGACTATATATCTATAATTTATTAATTGAGAAAATTAAAAATGCAAGTAACAAAATGAATTTATATTTTATCTGTAGTAGTGTTAATGGTTATATGAAAAATAATGTTTAAGATGTGTGTGCAATACCTTATTTAGCCTGTTATGATTGGCTGTAGATAATTTCATGAAATCCTAACACACTAGCTGTGTTTTCCCATGAGGAGGGAGCCACTAAGTTGGAGCACACATTAGGTATATTGTATAGTGGATGTGTATTTTATAATGTTGAATATATTGAGTAGAATCTTAATTTTTTTTAACTTAAATCAGCAACAGCTTTTACAACATCACATAAAAAGCAAAAGGCCACTGGTGAAAAATGTAGCTACTCAGAAAGAGACAAATGCAGCAGGTCCTGATCATCGGTCAAAAATCGTGCTTCTGGTAGATGCTTCACAGCAGACCGGTAAGGCAGGGGTTCTTATATACAATGTACATCACTGATCTTTATCTGTTGTCTTGCATTGACTTTATAATTGTGGATTATACCACTTCCTATGATTCTAGACTTCCATCCTTCCATTATCCTGCCACTTTGTTGAAATTCTCTAGGAAGGATAAAACAGTCCATGTTGTTAATGTTCTTTCAACTTGCTTGCTGACTTATACACAAACCCTGGCTTATTGAGCAGGGTTTGAGGTTTCCTTATAAAGTAGTGGAGCAGCTTAGAAATCAGAGATAGAATTTTTCAGAAATTGTAGACATATGAAAGTCATTTCGGTAGAAATCAAATAATTGTACATGTTTTTATAACTAGATTAAAAGCTTTTATAAAATACTCAACATTGTATAATACTTTTTAAGAGGAAATTAACAAGTTTTCAGTGCATATTGTAGCATAGATCTGAACCAGACCTATGAATTCAAACAAGTAAAAAAGATTTTTAGAGGATGGTCTAAGCATCAAATAAAAAAGCTTTATCCTAGTAATAGATAAGAATTAATAGTCTTAAAATATTCTATTTTCTCGTTTACATCATAAAATTCCACCTGATTGCTATAGAGTAGATAGATATCTATCACCTCACACCCATTGTCATTGACACTAGTAAGAAAAAAATCCTTGTTAGTGATCCAAGGCCAAAAATTAGATCTGTTCAAAGGCACATTTGCTTTTTACACCTCAGCAGCCTCCACTCAAAAGTAGTCTGGCTTAAAATGAATAAGGTGGTGCATACTTTCTTTCCTTTGGGATGTACCTTTTCTTTTGGACTTCTATTCAGTTATCCTTTTACGACTACTTAGATACATTAAGGGCAAGAAAGGATCTGGGAATCAGTTAAACAGTCTTGCTGACAGTACAGTCATTGTGTTGTTCATAGGGCATAAAGCAGTGAGATCAATGGACTTGCAAATGCTTGGGGTGCTATGGAAAAGAATCGCAGTGTATTCTATCACGAAGTTTTGTGTGTTTTGGTTGTCCCTAACCATAGTGACTTATTTGTACATGCTTTCAACCTTGGGACTGCATTTGAAAAGTTTGTGTAGTTACTTAGTTTAATCATTGTGACCACAAAGTCAGCCTTCTGAAGTATATGAATTAGAAAATGAAAAGATGAAGGTATAATTTGAATAGGTTTTATCTTTTATTTATATTGTTATTTTTTAGTTTATTTTGGAATTCTGAGGATTGTGCATTCTATTTATGTTTGTATTCTTTAGTTTGTTTTTGTTTTCTTAGGATTAATTGGTATAGGTCAAAGGTAGAATGAAATACTATAAAGGAATTTGTAACAGATTTTTACTCTTAACCACAAGCTTTTATTACTTAATAAGAGTTGAGTAAGTGAGGCAGATATAATATTAAAAAGTGAATTGCATTTAAGTGTGCTACCAATAAACAAATTTAAGAAAAGATGCCATTTACAATAGCAACAAAAATATAGTTTCTGGCAATGAACCTTAGATGTAGAAAACATTTATGCAGGAGTCTATAATTTTATTATAAAATGTTAAAAAGATATAAGTATTAGGTTCATGCAGGATGATTTGATGTTGTAAATGTAATTTTTTCCCTAAGTTAGTCTGTAGATTCAGAGCAGTTCCAATCAAAATTCCAATAGAAATTTTTGGGGAACTTGACAAACTAATTATAAAATTAAAGAGTACTGGTCTAAGAAGACCTAAGGCATCCCTGGAAAAGAACTTTTTCTCTAGATGTCAAGACCTAATAAACCATTTTAATTCTTAATGATTATACAAAAATATAATATATAAAAATTAAAACACAGTGCCCCCAGACTCACATATATGTGGAAACACATTCTTGAGTATGAGAAATGTCAGAAATAGCATTACAGATTTTTAACCTGTACCCCATGCAGATCTGTTCCAGATGGATTAAGGATTTAAATGGGAAAACCACATGCAGAAAAAAAATATAGGCAGGTATCTTTATGGTTACAGGGAGGAAACTGTGAGTAATATTCAGAATTTCTGTTTATCAAAAGTGAGTGAAAGAACAAGCTACAAACTTGGAAAAGGTTTTTACTGTGTATATAACTGACAAAGAATCAGTATGAGGACCTGTAAAGAGTCCATATGAATGGATAAGAAAGTTATCCTACCTTGCCCTCAGGGCCCCTAGGACACAGTGCCAAGGGGCTAAAATAATTTGTCAGAACTATTGGAATTTTTCCTTTGACCTAATTATCCCACTCCTGTGAATGTGTCCAAATAGAATCTCCCCCTAGAAAGAAAAGGGACTTTTTTGACCCAATTTTTCCACTCCAGTGAATGTATCCAAACAGAATCTCCCCCTTAGAAAGAAAAGGAACAACAAAAACACTAAACACTTCCCAATGTCCAGTAACAGCTGACAAGTCAAGAGAAGCTCAGGATATCCACTGAGTGGAATAATATGGAGCCTTCTTACATTATAATTATGAAGAACATATACTTTATGTTAAACAGCACAACTCAAAATAATAATTGAGGCTGTATAGAAATTATGTAAGGGTGGAAATGTGGGGGGAAAGAAAATTTATAATTTGTTGTACTGGTAGGAGATTGTTAGGCTTTTTTTTTTTTTTTTAGCTCTCTTGATTACAATTTGTGAAATACAAAAACAAGAAAAAGACAACTCAGTAGAAAAATAGGCAGAAGTCAAAGCAATGCTAAAGTAAAATTAAAAGATATTTCACAGAAGGGAAAACATAGTGGCTAAAAGCATCAGTAGAGATCGCGACCTCTTTTAAGCAGGAAAATCCAAATTAAAACTTACGTACAGTGAGCTATCTTTTTATACCAGTTGGTGAAAATTATAGCATAGAAGACAGTATCAAGTATTTGGTGAATATGTAGATCAGTGGGGAATATTTATATCCTGCTGTTGAAGTGTAAAATATTTTAACCACCTTTGAAAATGATTTGGCATTTCCAGGAAAAGTTGGATATATGTACTGTATCTCCTAGGCCCAGAAGTATTTACCTTAGAGAAACACACATACATTCATTTGTCTGTGTGAGAATGTTTATAGCGTTATTGTTCTTAATAATAGCAAAACCCCGAAACAGCCTAAGCGTCCATCAGTGGTACAAAGGATAAGCACATTACTGTGTAGTCATACATGGGTATTCTAGATTCCAGTGGCAGTAATGAATTACAGCCACATGCATTAGAATTGCAAACCCAGTGTTGAGGGGATGGTCAGATGGGAAGCATGACCCAAATATAGGCAGTATAATTTTATTTTTATAGAGTTAAAATTGCAATTTTACATGATTTATGTTTTAGAAATACAAAAATTCATGGTAAATCTATTTTAAAAAGTGAAGGATTAATAAGCATAGAATTCAGAATAGAAGTAACCTCTGAGGGAGGAAGAGCATGCAGTGGTGGAGAGGGCACGCAGTGGACCTCAGGACCGGTGATGTTCTCTTTCTTAAGTGGGTAATAGAGGTTCGTTTTATTTTAATTATACTAATATTTTATTCTCTTCATAATAAATGCATATTATAAACCAACTTGTCAGGAATATCTTCTGATCTTTTCAGAAAGTGTTCACCATTTACAAAGTTGAATCTTTATTTTCTTACAACCTTAATGTTAATTTGACAAGAATTTATCAATTTGGCCCTCACAAAAGAATTGTCACATTTTTCTTGCCTTGTAGATTTCCCATCAGATATCGCTAACAAGTCTCTCTCAGAGAGCTCTGCCACGGTGCTTTGGAAGTCCAAAGGCAGGAGGAGGAGAGCATCCCACCCTACCGCTGAATCCTCCAGTGAGCAGGGAGCGAGTGAAGCTGACATTGACAGTGACAGTGGCTACTGCAGTCCCAAACACAGCAACAACCAACCCGCCACGGGGGCTTCACGAACTGAGTCTGGCCCCATGAATGTATGTACCGTTGCTTTGATTTCTTTATCAGTCCTCTGTGTCAGTATTATTCTTGTAGCCTCTGCTGAAGTTTAAGTATCTATTTTCATTAATAATTCCTGTGGTAGTGTGATGGTTACAAACATTTTGTATGTTTTATTAATATGAAAAATACTCATTTATGGAGACGTATATTTTTATCTAAGATTGTAATAAGCATCCTTCATAGTAGACTAAATTATGAAATATTTGCAAAGTATATGGTTTTGATTTTGAAGGGGAAAATAATTGTTGTTTTTGTTTCTATTTTTAGAATGTGGAATCATCTGTATGTACAGGTACTTATTTTTCTGCATAGTGTTTTTGCTATACTTTCTTCTTTGTCCATGTCAAAGCTTTGCTTTTAAGCATGAAGTTTGCTGATGTTACAAAAAATTAGAAATCTTCTAAAGAGATTCAAGTTAAATTGAAAGTATAGTCTTGCTCATAAAATTGAAAAAATGCCTCCTAGAGGAATTCAGAGGTATAACACTTACATTACTAAGAACTGGAGTACCACTTAAAGTTTATAGAAACATGTGTACTATTATGTTTATAGTGGCTGGACTTCAGCACATAAAGTTAAGGAGCTATGTAGGTTTGGGCATCTTATATAAGGAAATCATATTTTAAATCTCATTTGTTACAGGTGGTGTAAATTGGTCCAATGTAACTTGCCAGGCAACTCAGAAAAAACCTTGGATGGAAAAAAATCAGACATTTTCTAGAGGTGGAAGGCAGACTGAACAAAGAAATAATTCACAGGTAATTTGAATTAGGTTGGACAAATTTGAGTAATGTGATAAGAATTACTATAAATGATATAATGGTTTTAAAGGTCAGTATTCTTAACTTTTAGAGATGCATATTGAATTACTTAAAAGTAAAATATATCTGTAACTTTAAAATGGCTTAGCCAGTTAAAGTATTATTTAAGTAATGAAACAAAATGACAAAATGTTGAAAGTAAGTGGTGTATATATGGCTGCATATTGTACCATTTCCTACTTTTTTAATTTAAGAAATATATTTGAATACTTCATAATTGTAAAATAGAATGCCCTTCAATCTTGCTTCACTTTGCTGACTTATCCAAATAAAGAATTTTAATGCCTTAAATATCAATTCTTTGAACTCAGGACTGCAGCCTTGCCTGTGTGACTTTACTCGACTATAAACATGAGCCACACTCTGCTTGTTGCAGTGCCATAGTGATGACTGCCTCTCCATGCCGTGGCCAGATTGGGCCGCTTCCTGACCTTGGGGTAGCGAGGTCTGGCTGCAGTAGGGCAGAGCAAGTTATATACTGTCACAAACCTCCAGTAACTGTCTTCCTGCATTGGTTGCCTATGAAATCAGGAAGTTGTATATTGGTCAGTATTTTTCCTTTTCAACTTGTAGATAGGTTGCGGGTTTCCTTAAATCTAGTCAAGGAATTAAGGTTATATGAATAGATCTGTGGATAAACTGAAATAAGAGAAAGTTATTAACAGATTAATAGACCAAATACTTGCCTATTTTTCCTCCCTAAAGTGAAGTTGTACTTCAGATGTACCCTAATGTTAATTAGGGTGTCAGGAAAAAAAGTGGAATAACGCCCTCTTCCCTGTGGTTGTTGCAGAAATAAGTCATCGTTACTTGCAGGCTTGTGAGGCAGTGTAGCTTTATTTGATCAAAAGCAAAAGAGCTAAAACAAGAATTGTTTAAAAAGATTAAACAAAATCTATAAAATGTTTGGGTAAGTACTGGAATTTTATGTTCAAATTGTATCTGCTTAGACCCAGTTTTGCAGCCTCAGTACCATTACTTTTGGTATCAGTAGCCCACTGGAGAGGAAGTAATACTGATATAGAAAAATATTTTCTCTCTGCCTTAAAAGTGGTGAGAAATGGTGAAAGAACAACAACAACAAAAAAACTATGGAAATACATGTAGTATGTTAAGTTTTGTTTATTTTGTAACTCTCCATTCCATAAGACCTAGACACAGATGTTGTATAAAGTGTTTGCTTTCTTTTCTACTTCTGATGCTTTGTTATATTTTTATATTTAAAAAAAATTATATTATTTTGTTATATTTTCAAAATATAAAAATTTAAAGATTTTATTTATTTATTTTTAGAGAGAAGGAGGGAGGTAGAAAGAGAGAGAGAGAAACATCAATGTGTGGTTACCTCTTGTGTGCCCCCCACCGAGGACCTGGCCGGAACCCAGGCATGCGCCCTAGACTGGGAATCGAACTGGTGACCCTTTGATTGACAGGCCTGTGCTCAATCCACTGAACCACACCAGCCAGGACCATTACATTTTTTAAGCATGTATTTGTTTCATTTTTGACGTGTAGAATCTTTTTAAGTCAAAATATTCTCCCTTTTAAAATTTCTGATTATTTTTAGACTTAAAACATCTTTGAGAAACCAAATACTCGCTTGTATTTTCTGCTATGTTTTTATAGACTGATGTTTCAAGACTTTTTTAAAATCTAAGGTTAATAGTATCACAACCCAGATACTGATCTAGTCAAGATACAGAACAGATTCATCGCTTATGTTGCCCTTTCGTAGTCACACTCCCTTCCGTTCCCCAAACCTACCAGCCTCTCCTTATTAGTGGATATTAAAATCCACTAACATGTCTCCACTTGCTATAGTTTTGCCATTTCAAGAATGTTGTATAGCCCTGACTGGTGTGGCTTAGTGGATTGAGCATCCTGCAAATCGAAAGGTTGGTTTGATTCCCAGTCCAGGTCTCTGGTTGGTTGATGTTTCCCTCACATGTCGATGTTTCTCTCTGTCTCTTTCTCCCTCACTTTTCCTCTCTAAAAATAAATAAAATCATTTTTAAGAAAAGAATGTTGTATAAATGAACTCATATAGTCTTTTAGGATTGGCTTTCTTTCACTTGCACGGTTCTCTAGAGATTTATCCAGGTTGTTGGATATATCAGTAGTTCATCCCTTTTTGTGGCTGACTGTGTTTTCATAGGGTCAGTGAACCACAGTGAGTTTCACTTTTTCCCAATGAAGGACATCTGAGTTGTTTCCCAGTGTTGGCCATTCTGAATAAAACTAATGTAAACATTTCATGTTTGGAGGTAGGGGGAGTGACATGCATTATCACATTTTCATATTCTCCTTATAAAGACCTTATTTCTCAAAACTTTCAACGTTTTATAATAGATTATGCACTTTTATGAAAATTCACTGAGTTGTATACTTTTCTGTATGATATATATACTTCAGTAAAATATTTACTTAAAAATAATAAGACATGGGTTTTTTTCCCATGGTTTTTTACTTAGGTTGGATTCAGATGCCGAGGACATAGTACTTCCTCAGAAAGAAGACAGAATTTGCAGAAGAGACAAGATAAGCAGTTAAACCCCAGTCAGTCTCATAGAAATGACCCAAATTCTGAGTCTTTATATTTTGAGGTATTTTTTCACACTCTTTTTGAAATCTGTTATAGCAGAGGTTCCCTTTACAAAATTAATTATCTTCTATTATAATACCTTTTATGTCTTAACATGTAACTCTGTTAGATTATAAACTACTTAGAAGTATTGACTTTATTTATTTATTTATTTATTTTTTATTTATTATTTTTAGAGAGAGGGGAAGGGAAGGAGAAAGAGAGGGAGAGAAACATCAATGTGTTGTTGCCTCTCATATGCCCCCAACTGGGGACCTGGCCCACAACCCAGGCATGTGCCCTGGCTGGGAATTGAACGGGTGACCCTTCAGTTTTCAGGCCAGCACTCAATCCACTGAGCCACACCAGCCAGGACTAAAAGTTAGATTTTTTTGTCTTGGTTATATACAGGGTTGGGCAAAAGTAGGTTTATAGTTATTAGTAAGTAAAGTGGTTTATTCTTGTATTATGATATATTATTGTATTGTTTTTCATACAAACAGCTATAAACCTGTATTTGCCCTACCCTGTATAGTTAGTCTAACATTGACTTCATTAATTTCTATAAAATTTTGCATGGGTATTCATCATTTTGAGATAACATGTAGGGTAGGACTTGATTTTATGTGGATTTCACCTAATATGAAACTTTCTTCATAGTTTTTGTTTTTTGTTCAATCTTTTTGTCAGGTTTTTCAGATTTGAATAAGTCGATCTAGTTCATTTGTGCTGCTTCTTAGGAGAGTCTTGGAGAAAGAAGAAAAGTAATTTTGTTTTCTCTAACAGGCAGGAAGTTTATATTCTAATTATAGTATTCTATTTATTCATCTAGTTGAAGGCCTATTTATGTGTGTCAAAGTAAGGTACTTGGAACAATACATTGAAGTGAATAAACGTACTACCCTATGGAAGTTGCTTTGTAGTAGAATGTAGATATGTATACTGTTAAATATTTGCTTGAGTGTGGTTGGAATTCAAAGGAGACACAAGTCCCTTTGGACTCACGGCAGGGTAAGAAAAGCATTTGGAATAGATTTGAAAGAATGAGTTGTGTCAAGATGCTAAACAACATCTTGGTAACATCCAGGTAACTCATTTGAGTAAATCGTTTTTAATCATAGTTTCTGCAAAATAGGTGAATAGATGAAGATTAAGCTGGAAACATGCTTGAGCCCAGGTGCTAGAGATGAATGTTATATTGGATAAGCTTGATAATTGACCTAAAAGACTTGAGAATGCATCATAAGTATTTTATCAAAAACAGTACATGCGGCAGATTTATTATTTGCATTTAACCATGTGATTAGTCCCAAACTTAACATTTAGTTAAAGATACTAGAAATAATCTTCAATGTAAAGGAGGATATTGGTTAAGAAATTACTTTGAATGGGAAATTTGAATTTTTCATTTTTTTAACTTTAAACTGTGATGGGTATGTATAGTAATACAGGACAGGTAATATATTGCTGAACTTGGTATTAAGGCATGTGTTTAAATTTTTTCCAAATTATCTGAAATGTGATAAGACCCTTTTTGAACTTCTTTTCTATTATGCTACCATATCAATGTAGAATTATTACTAATAAAAGTTGAATAGTAGATGAAGAAATCCAAAGGATGGATCTGTGTGGATATGTACCCATCCTTGAATAACTAAATTAGCTGTTTAAGACTGTAAATAGTTTAATATTAGTACTAAAAAAGTTACTTCCTCATTTTTCATTACTCTTCAGCATTTTAAAAAGTCTTAAGAGTTTATTTCTTTGAACTGTTTTTATTTGAAATGTGAAACCTTCAGGATGAAGATGAATTTCGAGAACTAAATGAGAATGGAAATGCTAAAGAAGAGAATATTCAACAGAAACTTTCTTCAAAAGTAGTGAGTGACTCTTTTTTCAAAAAATATAAGCAAAATATGTGAACATCTTTTGAATTGTGGCTATGTTGAAAAAAATGTTACAGGTAAGTATAAGGATGTGGGGCAGCATAGTATACAACGGTTAATATTTCTTTTCAACATAGCCAGAACAAAGACACTTTCCTAGGAAAGTCATGTTTCATTATGCATGAGAAAATACCATTAATTAAATAACATCATACGACACACAGTCCATACTGAAACTTCCCCAATTGTTGCAAAAGTTCACTTTGGAGTTACTTTGTTTTCATTCCTGGGTGCAGACGAGCATCACTTACTTACTGCATTGAGCTGTTTTGTCTTTATTTCTCAGTCTACAGTGGACCCACCATCTCACTCTGTTCTTTATAACATTGTTCTTTGAAGAGTCTAGTCTGGTTATTCTGTAGAATATCCCACATTCTTGATTGTCTTTTCTTGTTATTAGATTTTCATGGAATCACTGACAAATGATTTTTTCTGGTTATTACAGTTGGATGACTTACCAGAAAACTCACCAATCAATATAGTTCAGACTCCAATTCCCATTACAACCTCCGTTCCTAAACGTGCAAAAAGTCAGAAGAAGAAAGCTTTAGCTGCAGCCCTTGCCACAGCTCAAGAATATTCAGAAATAAGTATGGAGCAAAAAAAATTACAGGTACATATATTCATATTTACGAACAAATGTATTAGTTTATTCAGTAGGCTTGCAGTGGTGGAGAGTAGTGACAATGCAATCATCTGAAATTGCCACACTTTCATACAGAAAAAAATAAAAAAAATTTTGTTCGTTTACCTTGCAGGAAGCTTTATCAAAGGCAGCTGGAAAAAAGAGTAAGACACCTGTGCAGCTAGACTTGGGGGACATGTTAGCAGCTCTGGAAAAACAACAACAAGCTATGAAAGCACGACAGATTACTAACACCAGACCTCTGTCATATACAGGTGATACCGTTAGTCTGAGCAGTTTGCTATTTGGCTTTGGTAATTTATTTTTGGATATTGTTAATCTAAATCATATGTATGTAAAAAAATCCAGAGTCCTATCACCAGTTCCTCTCCTGTTACCCTGGTAGCCCCATTGTACCACACTATAGTAGCTTCTTACTTATCACCAACCTTACCTTACCCCCAATCCCAGTCTCTTTTACTAGGAGTGATCTTTTTAAATATAAACTGGATTTTCCCTGGCCGTTATGGGTGAATTGGAATGTCATCCTGTAAACCCAGAGGTCGCTGCTTCAATTCCCAGTCAGGGCACAGGTCCAGGTTGCAAATTCTGTCCCTCGTAGAGGTGTTTACGAGAGGCAGCTGATCGATGTTTCTCTCTTACATTGATGTTTCTCTCCCTCCTCTCCTCTCTCTAAAATCAATAAACATGTCATCAGGTGAGTATACTGCATATATATTATACACATACACACATAGACACAGGATTATATCACCCCACTACTCTTCATCTCACTTGGAGTAAAGCCAGAGCCCTGCTAAGTCCATGTCTTAGTTTATCCTATTAGTTTTCTACCCTCATCACCATTCTCTCCTGGTACACTGTTCTAGTCCTGTTAGCTCTCTCACTGTTCCATAGACACACCCAGCATGCTCAGCATGCTCCTTGCTCAGTATCTTTGTGAGTGCTATTTTATTTACCTGGAACTCTCTCTCCTCGGATATCAGTATAGTTTGTTCCCTTCAGTATTCCAGGCCTCTGTTCAGATGTCAGTTGATGTACATTTTGAACCAACCAGCCAAGTTTTTTTTTTTTCATTTTTAAAGGTTGAAATAACAAAAGTAATTTGGTTCTCTAAGTTTTAAATTGTGTGTGGGGGGGAGTGGGGGGAGAGAGACAGAGACAGAGAGAGAGAGAATATGAATGAATGAGTATGATCTAGCTTGCTCCTGAAACAGTAGTTTATATTTCAGCAAACCTTGTCAGATTTAGAGCTTAGCAGCTCGATGTGCTTCCTCATTTTTTTCAATAGTCTTTGTTTTAGAATATGAGGTATAAGATAAAGGGAAGGTAAAGGCACCAACCAAACAGCACAGATGTGGAGAGGCATGATTAAAGTTTCTGTTTCTTTGAAAAGGATCTATTGGTCTTAGATAAAAAGATAAGTAGCAGTGTATGACTTTAATCCTATTTGCAAAATGCTTAAATCTATAGTTCCTCACCTATCCAGGTTAAAACTTAGCTTTTAGTAACTATTAGTAAAAATAGTATTAAATGCATACTAAGCTTTAGGGAGTGGTATTAATATCTCACTAAGAGAAAGTACTGTAGGGGATGGAACTGAGTTAGCAGTGCTCTGGAGGTAGTGTGCCTAGTGGCTGTAAGCAGGGCTTGAAGTTGAGCTGCCTGGGTTTAAATTTTGTTTTTCCATCTATTCCCTTGGCAAGTTATTTAACCTTCCTATACTTCAATTTCCTCACATTAAAATGAAAGCAATGATAGTACCTGCTTCAGGATTGTTTTGAGGAGTAAATGAGATGACATATGTAAAGTGCTTAGAAGTGTGTGTGGATTATAATCACTCAGTAAATGTTAACTGATTATTATGAAGATGAGATTGTTGACCTGTGATTCTTCGAATGGCTTACTGTTACAGCTTTGATTCACTTAGTAAATGTTAATATATACAGATGTAAAGATCTACATGCAAGCATGGGGTCAGAAACTGAGATTACAGATATTAAAATATGTTTATATTCTTGTCAGTGAGACATACAAAAATGACTAATAAAAACTAGCACCTAAGAAAAGATAACCAGCAAAGTTTTATGAACTTTTAGAAGAGAAAGTGACTTATGTCAATAGGAAGGTATTGGGAGGATGTTACATTAAATGACCTCAGCCCTGGCTGGTGTGACTCAGTGGATTGAGCACCAACCTGCGAACCAAAGGGTTGCTGGTTTGATTCCCAGTCAGGGCACATACCTGGGTTGTGGGCCAGGTCCCCAGTTGGGGGAATATGAGAGGCAACTACATTGATGTTTCTCTCCCTCTCTTTCTCCTTTCCTTCCCTTCTCTCTATAAATAAATAAATAAATAAATAAATAAATAAATAAATAAGAAATGCTATATTCAAAAATAATAAAAAAACATAAATGACTTCGTATATGATACCATTTGGACTGGTCTTTGAAAGGGGAGGAGGATTCTTGAACAATAGAAATGAAGTTAATCTCTAATCTGTCACCAGTGTTTAAATTGGGAAGTGTTAATTACAAAGAAGACAACTTTCTTGGGAAGCCGAAAATCAGGATGAGATGATGTTAGAGATGTGAAAGGATTGTAAGTCATCGATAGGTTTTTTGGGTTTGATTTTTTTTTCCTGATGGAATGCACAAGCATATCAAAGATGACTGCAGACTCTCTGGCTTGAAGAATTGTGATAGTGGTAAAGACTATCACAATTAGATAGTCTTGTGTTAGGTAGTCTTGTGTTAGATAGTCTTTTGTTAGGTAACAAAAGAAGGATCGTGAAGCTAGAATTCTATTGGGAACAACAGACTCTGGCTTCGTTGTATTTGAAGTGCTAATTAAAGAGATCCTGCTGGTTCCCATGTAACTTTTAGTTATGTATGTATGTGTGTGCAGTTTAGATTAGAAGTCAGTGCATTTCAAATAGAGACAGTTGTAGCTGTGGAGATATTGATACATAAGATTGTTGGGGAAACATAAGTTAGAAAAAAATATCTTCAGGGATAAAGCCTTGTGGAATGCTTAGATTTAAAGGACAAAAGGAAGAAGAATCAGAGAAATAGGTTTGAGAAAGAGTAAGAAAGTGGGAGAGTGAGCCCTGGCTGGTGTGGCTTATTGAACTGATCCCCAGCCTGTGAACCAAAGGATTGCTGGTTGGATTCCCAGTCAGGACACACGCCTGGGTTTTGGGCCAGGTCTTCAGTAGGGGGTGCTCAAGAGGCAACCACACATTGAAAATAGGAGAGTGTTAAGTTACAGAAGGCAGATTTAGAATTTTGGGGAAGAGGATGTGGTTTTGGGTACCAAGTGGTGAAAAAAACAAGAATAGAATGAAGACTCAGGAGAATGAGGTTTAGCAACGGCAAGGTTATATGTGATCTTGACATTAGCAGTTTCAAGAAATTGGGTAGGACAGAGGCCAGACTGCAGTAATTTGGGAAGCAGTGAAGAGAACACAGACTATTGAGAACTTTAACAAGGAAGGAAAGGGGAGTGATGGTACCTTAGCTTGAGGGGAAGCCAGTCAGTGGAAGGGTTTTATTGATTTGCCTGTTCGTTTTTGGGGTGTTTTTTTTGTTTTTTTTTTAGATAAAAGAGATTTTATTCTTTATTTTTTTAAAGATGTTATTTATTTATTTTTAGATCGAGGGGAAGAGAAGGAGAAAGAGAGGTAGAGAAACATTGATTGATTGCCTCCTGTATGCACCTAACCCAGGGACCTGGCCAACAACCCAGGCACATGCCCTCACCTCAATGCCAGGAATTGAACTGGCAACCTTTGAGTTTGTGGAAGGACACCCAGCCCACTGAGTCATACTAGTCAGGGAGGAGGAGATAGAGGAGATTTTCATTTTGTTGGGAGTTAGGGAAAAGAGTTGGGAATTAATAAGGAACTTGGAAGATGTAAGGGAAAAGGGATGGAGCAACATCCTCGAGGAGTTAATCCTAAAATGGGATTATAAACTCAGAGATGGTTGGTGAGCTTTGGACAGGGGTAAGGATGTCTGCTGCTTCCTCTCAGGTGGCTTGTGAGTTTATATTGGATAGTATTGGGTTGACCTAAAAGTCCATTACATTTTTTCTGTAAAATAAAAGACACATTTTTTATTTTCATGGATAACTATTGATTTGGATATTTCGAGTATGTTGACTCTCTCCCGCTATTGGCTTCTAGTGGGTAGAAGCCAGGGGTGCTGTTAAACATCTTCCAATGCATCAGACAGCCCCATAGCAAAGAATTATTTGGCCAAAAGGTCAGTGGTACTGAGAAATTTCACAAACCACTTTTGATGCGTTTTACCAGTCACAGCACCTTCTCCATAAACTGCATAAATCTTTTTTGTGTGTGTTTAAGTTGTGTTTACCTTTCTTGAAATAATAAAGTGTAATATGCAGAAAATATTGTGTATCTTCCATTTTCAGTATTAAAATGGCTGCACAAAAATTCAACAATTTTGATGTTTTTTAAATGCATGCTGACATGACAGCTGTCACAGTACAGTCTCATAAAATTGTTTCCAATGAAGTTAAAGACAACTAAGCACTACTAGAGTCATCGTATGGATAAAACATAACAGACTTTTTGGCCAACCCAGTATCTTCTCAGAGCAGTAGCAGGAAAGCTTGTGTGTTAGAGTGAGAGGTTTGAGATTAAAGGTTTAAGACTGCTAAAGGATTTGGGGGTAGTCACTGGAGAATGTCGTAGGGGGAGAGGGGCTCATTGTTCTCTGACAGACTGAAATGAGGAGAGGAGTGAGAGACTACATGTAAGGGTGACTCTTACATAAGGCAGATTCAGTAAAATGAGGGGACATGCAGGGTTCTCAAATGTCAGAGATGTAGCGATTCTGATTGGAAACCAGTTGCAAGAATTGAGATCCTTGATGGTTGCTGCAGTAGAGTAGAACTAACAATTTAAATATCCCTACTTTGGATTGCTGAATTAATTAATTGCATTGTCTTTGTCTTTATCACATGGAACTAAAAGAATGGGTCAAAACTGTACTGAGGGACACCACATGGGCATGTGCTGCTCTGACAATTTGATGTCTGTTTTTCCACAAGAAGAAGATGTCCTCATGTTTTAGATTTAGCATTAGAAAATTTCTAAGTATGGAGAGTTGGCTGTAGTAGTAAAACTAATGTTCTTGTTTGTTTTTAGTGGTCACTGCAGCTTCTTTTCACACTAAAGACTCTACTAACAGACAACCTTTAACCAAAAGTCAACCTTGTTTGACATCCTTTAATTCTCTGGACATTACTTCCTCTAAAGCAAAAAAAGGAAAAGAGAAGGAAATTGTAAAACTAAAACGGCCCACTGCACTTAAAAAGGTAAAGCAAAATCTGGGATGTTTATTTTACAGGATAAATAAAGGTTTCAGTCTGTTTTGCAAAAGTAATGTCATGCTTTAGCCAACAGATTATTGTGAAATGTTCATAGGCATCATCGTAAAGGCCATAAGTAGTTAATTTGAGATTGGGGATGTGTCATCAGCATCTTGCATATCTTTCTATGTTGAACAGGACTCTAGAGAATGAATTTTTTCTATAGGAGGATCTTTTAAAAAGTTAAAACATTTAGCACCCCAAAACATCAGACACTAGGAATGAGAAGTTATGGTTTCTAATACTAACTTCAGTGCTTGTTATGTAATTTTAGGCAAACCTTACCCTCATCATCTTCATCTAAGGTGATAAATAACAGCACTGCTCTGTTTAACTCAGTGTTGTTATTAAAGGGAGGTAATCCTGTCCAAGTAATTGAAGACTGGCAAATGTAAATCTAAGGGAACTGTATCACCCAGTTTCCATGCTTTTTATTTCATCTATTTTCAGGTAAATTCTAGGTTTTGCGAACCAGTATAAAGATTGAAGTAGATGTGGTAGATAGCTGTAGTATTACAGAGCATAATTGCCTCTCTTTATTTTGAATATAGTACCTCCTTTAGCTATGGTGACTAAAATTACATTTAACTTTTTGCTAGTCAGTTTTTATGTAGCCAGCTAAACACATAGCCATCCAAAATCCTCATGTCCATTTTTAAGTGAACCACTGTGCCTATGTAATAGTAAACATTTTAATTATTCAGTAAATACTTAAAGAGTGATCAGTAATTAAAGAATGGTAATGACTTTTAGGTTATTTTGAAAGAGAGAGAGGAAAAGAAGGGCCGTTTAACTGTGGACCACAATCTTTTGGGATCTGAGGAACCAATAGAAATGCACTTAGATTTTATTGATGATTTGCCACAGGAGATTGTTTCCCAGGAAGGTAAGATTACCCCTTTCCCCCTTTTCATGGAATGGTGTAGAGTATTTTACTTGATAGGTAAGCCATTACTAGTTATTCTCCTAATTGGAGGATTTGCTTTATATTTAGTTTTGAGAGTGGTTTCTCTTAAAGATGCTTCTGTAGGGCTATATGTAAAAAGCAGGGAACAGTGTTATATGGTAGGTTTTTGGCATTTTTGAGATTTAAATCCTGAATTTGTTGTGAAACTTCATAATTATAATCTCACCTATGCATCCTCTGCAACTGTTTCAGTTCTTTTCATCTTGTCTTTTATATCTAGAACACTAGCTCTCCTTCTTCACAGGACTATTTTTAAGTGAATTGTTTTCTTGATTGTTTTTCTTGGCTTTCATGAGTTAATGCGTGAGCCACAGTGAGTAGAGAATTGCAAATCCTGTCATAGTGCACAATCCAATTGGTCACTGAGATTCAGCCCCATACAGTTGCCAGCATTTATGATTCCAGTTGGGACCTTAGCAAAACTATAGATTCCTTCTAAAGTTACACTACTGTGGAAGAAAGATTTTAGAGAGGACCTGGCAGATCCCTTTTTTTGCTGTTACATATTTATTCCTCAACATTTTCCAACCATTTAAATCTGATTTATATGTAGATTAAGTAACAGTGTTCCATTGGGTTTAGAAAAATGAATTTACTTCTGAGGATTGTTCAGCTGAGACATATTTGGTTAGGATTCCCCTTTACTCCAAATTAAACATCATTGCTTTTGTATTTAGCCATATTTACCCATCTGTTCATTCAGAAGGTGTTTATTGAATACTTGCTATGTGTACTTCAGTTACTGGGGTGGGAATGGGAAGGTCAGAAAATATGGTAGACTGGTCTTGCTACAAGAAGCTTATCATGTATGGAGATAAAAAACTGTATGTATAACTGCTAATTAATGGAATGAATATACAATTACAAACTCATATCCTGACTTCAGGTGTTCGGAAATGAAGTAGTAACTGAAGGAGAGGCAGTTGAGTTAAGAGGTGGCATCTAAAAATGCGGCTGCCTGAGCACAGAAGCAAAGACCAAGGAAGAGGAACAGGGATGGTGCCTGGAGTGGTGTGGGGAGGATGAGTGAGGTAGAACCATCGTTGCCAGAAGCAAGTTTTTATACAGTTTTAACAGTGATTTCTAAGAAATAGGGGGGAATAGAAGTGAAGCAGATAGGTAATAGGATCATCTAGTATAGAAGCTAATGCCTTGTTTTTCCATTTAAATCCTCTAGGAATATATGTTTTAGATAATTTGGCCTTCTCTCTTCTGTGGAGACCTGTAGGTCATGCTTGACTTTTATTTATTATTTTTTTTTTAGTAAATTTTGAGAAGATAATAGGAAGAATTCATTTTTGTAGAGTATGTTATTAGAGTAAACAAGAGATGTTTACTTGCGGTATGAACAATGTTAGCTTGTGGAGAATTTCAGAGTGATACAAAAGACAATTGCCATTCTAAGTTGTACTGATTATATTGATTTTAATAGAGTTTTTCAGCATTGGAAATTTCTTAAGTTTTTATTCTCACCCTACATCTCTGCAGATACTGGACTGAGCATGCCCAGTGACACTTCACTCTCTCCAGCAAGTCAGAACTCTCCATACTGTATGACACCTGTGTCACAAGGCTCTCCAGCTAGTTCTGGGATAGGCAGTCCGATGGCATCTTCAACAATAACCAAAATCCACAGCAAAAGATTTAGAGAGTAAGTATTAGTCTCGTTATTGAGGTTGAATAGTTTAAATACCTTGGTTGTAGTTCTGAATATAGTATTGTCATTATTACTTGGTAGGTTCAGTAGACAAAACACTAAAAGACCTTTAAGTTGTTTAAGATTCTCTTTAATAACTGGTTTCATGATATTTAAAACATTTGCCTTCCGTCAGCCATCAGTGTTCGTGATGAGTGGACTGTAAATAGACTTTTTATGTCAGATAGTGTTTATAGCCTGGAAATTTGGCCTCTTACATCTTATATATAAAATGCCAAACTGTGAGGTTTTTCTCTCTCCAAGTGCTTCCACTGTTTTGTTTATATTATGGGCACTTCAGAAAAAAATCCTATAACCAATTTATACCAAGTTTCTAAGACCCTGTTACATGAAGTTAACCTATTACACAAAGCTATTTGTTTTTGAGCAGATATTTCTTAAGTTTTCAATTGCCCATCGGTGAATAATCTTGAACTAACAGTTACTGCTCTGAAGGATTTTGGGATTTTAACATTTGTGCAGATGAATTAATTTTACCCTTAAAAATGACATATGAACAAATCTCAGGGTGAAAGTAAAATCTGTGTGAATCCAAAGCACATTGCTTTGTTCAGTCCTTTTCTTTATACTGTTCTTTTAAGCAAATACTTCTTGTCTTGATTTGGGGAGTTAATAAATGTCAAGTAATAGATGTGAAGCAAAGGAAACTCTCAGAATAAAATGCTATAAACAACTTAAAAACAGAATGAAGAAAATTGCATTTTTTGATCTTCTGTTCTTTAATTTTGCATACTTTAAGTAGTTAATCTTTCCTCAGTCTGTCTTATCTTCCCTTCTGAAGTAGTGTCATACTTGTACTTATTTAAATATCTTTCACATAAACATAAAAAAATAATCCCAAAGCAGCAGAGCTCCCCCCCAACACATGTACACAGAAAGGGAAGGCCTGGAGTTTTCCACTCTGTAGTGTAATTTAGAAGTAGAAATTTGGTTACCTGGTTATTCCTAGATTAAAAATTATACCAATTTTCCTTGTTAAGTACTTGCTAATGGTAGAGATTAGGGATTAGAACTAGAAAAGTAGAGTATATTAAGAATAAGTAGCTGTGAGCAGGGTGGTTCAGTTGGTTGGGCATTGTCCAGAAAACCGAAAGGTCGCTGACTGGATTCTTGGACAGGGCACACAACTGGATTGCAGTTTTGGTCCCTGGTCAGAGTGCATATGAAGCAACTGATTGATGTTTCTCTCTCACATTGATGTTTTCTACCTCTTTTTCTGCTTCCCTGCCCCTCTCTCTCTAAAAATAAATACAGAAAAGTTTTTAAAAAATATATAAACAAACTTGAATGACTTCCTTATTCCTGAAATTAAGTGCTATAGTGGTCTCACACTTATTTCCTTTCTATTTTTTTGCATTGTAGCTGTAATATATCACAAAGAGCTTCATTTGGTTGCTTTGCCTCATATGTTTTGGCTTGAATTTAATTACTGAGTTTCTCCTCCATAGCTGTAGATTTTTGGAGTTAGAGGGACCTTTGAGGCCATCTTAGTTAACTCTGTAATTATGGTTGAGGAGGACAATGCCCGGAGATTGTGGCTTATCCAAGAGTAGAGGATGAATTGTTGGCGTTAGGGTATTCAGTAAGCTTCCACAAAGTTACATTTCTTTCCTACTAGAAGCATCTTTAATACTCATTGAAATGAAATAACCTTATATCTCCTTAGCAAAAACATTACTTGTCTTTTTATCTAGCTCAGCAGGCTAACATTTGATTTATATCCTTTGGAATTTAATAATTGGGAGTTTGAATAGTATTTCCCTGAGGTTGATCTATCTGTTATGTAAAAGCCAATTTGTTGTAATTCAGAAAAACTCTTGTTTTTCTAATTGACTAAAGACATAAGAGATTTTAAAGATTTAATTTTTTATGAAAACCTCTTACTAGATCTATTTTCTCCCAAAGTAATTTTATAATTACAGAAAAGTCAGTTAGGACAAACTGACTTATTTTTGGTTTCCTTTATAGGTATTGTAATCAGGTTCTTTGTAAAGAGATTGATGAATGTGTGACTCTTCTTCTTCAAGAGCTGGTCAGTTTCCAGGAACGCATCTATCAAAAAGACCCAGTAAGAGCAAAAGCAAGGAGACGGCTGGTTATGGGGCTGAGGGAGGTTACCAAACATATGAAGTTAAACAAGATCAAGTGTGTTATAATTTCTCCTAACTGTGAAAAAATCCAGTCCAAAGGTATGAAATTTTTACTTGAAGTGTTTTGATACTTACTTAGTATAATTGAATTCAAAATCCACACAATGAGTTTTGAAGTGGAATTCATATGATTTAGCAGAGTGTAGGTATAAAACATAATATTGAGCATGAAGGAAGAAAATCTATTTCAGTACGAGAATTAAGTAATAAAATTGAGATTGGATTGTAAAGAAACCCCCACCTGCGAACACTGGTGAAGGAGGTCAGTTGGGCCACTGCATGTGCCCTCTGTTGTAATGAGAGTGGAGACCAGTGAGAGTGCATTTCTTTATCTCTGCAAATATAGTCTTCTTTTAAAATTTTTATGTTACCTTTCTTTGAGGGCTCTCTTTTCTTGGTTATGGTGATTTGCCCTTCAGAAACCAGCAGTTAATACAGAGCTTCTTGTGTGAGCTGGCAAATAAGTGCTTTGTACTATGTTGTATACCCTTATTTGTCCTTTTTCATGAAGCAGCCACTGTGGGTAGGCAGATGCATCAAGTAGCGGTACCAGGCATATTCTCCATAGGGAAGCAATACCAGTAAAAACAGTAACATGCAATATTAATACATATGATAGGTTGCTACTTCCACTGAGAGATTGGCTAAAGGAATCAGCCACTGTTAACAATTCTCATTAACTTCTTTTAACAAGTGTTTATTGTATTGAAATTTGATTCCTTCTACACTAAATCCTATGGAGAGACAAAAATACTAGGAATTTGGAATTTAACTGGGGAGAAAGAAAATATGTACATATGACCATACGTGGTACAAATTTAAATAGGAAAAGGTATAGAATGGCATAAGTGCCACAGGCCTTCATAGAATCCTTTGCTGCTGTGTTTTATACTTTAACTATTGAGTGCCAAAACACCACTGTTTGGGAAGTATTAAAACCCCTACGTGTGCACTGACTTTTTCAGGTGGCCTGGATGAGGCTCTCTATAATGTTATAGCCATGGCACGGGAACAAGAAATCCCTTTTGTGTTTGCCCTGGGAAGGAAAGCTCTAGGACGCTGTGTGAACAAGCTGGTTCCTGTCAGTGTAGTAGGAATTTTCAACTACTTCGGTGCTGAGGTAAGACTTTGGAAGGCACACCCTTCTTCGCTCCCTGGCCCTGCCCCCAGACAGTACATTTTCTGTTGACACGTGCCAGTGCTCTGGTTAAGCATTTGAAGAAGTGAGATAATGACTCTCCAAGAATAAGCAGAAAATTCTTGAGTATTATACTTTATTTTTTAGTGTTGAAACCTTTACATAAATTAATCCTACAGTATATCTTTTTAAATTTTGGCTGCTATTTCTCCACAGTGTTTTTTTCTTCTGGGTACAACTATATAATACTTGATCATTTATTTAGCTTATTAACATACAATATTTTAAGACTTTTTTATGAAGTTGATTCTACAGTATTTTGTGAAAACACTGATTGACTATTGATAAACTCTGCAAGAACTTTTAATATCACATTTAGTAACCAGTATTGAGTCAGGAAATTTCGTCAGTCTTGTGAGAATTAAATAAATACTATATGTAAGTTGCAGAGTATTTCATAAGGTTCTGTGGTTGCCATACTGTTTGGAATCTGTGCTGATTGGAAGTGTATCTAATTCTGAAACAGCGGAGATACATATTGCTAATAATAGGAATAGAAATTGTAACAAAAAATGGACTAGTCAAAATCTTTCTTTTTCAGAGCCTGTTCAGTAAGTTGGTAGAACTCACTGAGGAAGCCAGGAAAGCATATAAAGATATGGTTGCAGCAATGGAACAAGAGCAGGCAGAGGAAGCCTTAAAGAATGTGAAAAAGGTGCCCCACCACATGGGGCACTCCCGGAACCCCTCAGCAGCAAGCGCCATTTCTTTCTGCAGTGTCATTTCTGAACCCATCTCTGAAGTAAATGAAAAGGAATACGGTAAGTTGTTACATACTGCTTTAAATAAGTTAAATTTTGAAATAATTTTTTTCATTAAGATCATTTGAAAATGACTTTCATGTTGTCTTTTGTCTTTATCTTAGTGATTATTCAAATTTTGCTTAAAATTTTAGTTTACAGAATTGCAGTAAACCCAGCCTTTAAATTGGGAGACTGTTTAGGGCTGAGCCTTTCTGTGAAACTCTGAAAATTAGTCATATTTCCATAATCTTCAAAAAGAAAGAAAAGAAAAATCCCAAAGGATTTAAAAAGCAAAATATACCATACTTATGACCTATAATTTAGTAAATTCTGGGATATTTTATTGTAATATTTTATACTCTGTTACTAAAATTTTATTTTTACTAAATAAACAAAAGACCTGAACACTATTCAATCTGAGCTCACAAAACCTAGACATATGACACTCGTGTTAAATCTTACTGTAGTCAGAAAGAAACTAAAAAACACTTACGTGATATATTTAAAGTAGCATTATTAACTGCCCTCTGTGTCTTAGCAGTTCCCTTGCCTTTGAACTATAATACTTCGTTTCTATCATACTTTGAACTCTTAAATTCTCTTTCTTGAACCAGTTTGGGTTTTTTTCTTTTAAAAAATAATACAGCCTCCTCCCTCAACTTGGTTTTTTGTCATTTCTTCTTTTCACTATTTAATCTATCTGAGAATTTACCAAATAGCTTATTCACACCTAAAATTTAACATGTAGAAAACTGAGTCCTCATTTTCCTCCTTTCCTCTCACACTCTCCTTCCTGGTCTGTCTGTCACTGTAGGGAAGTGTTTGGGATGCTTCGACGACACCGCAGGCTGCAGGCAATATAGCGAGTTATTGCGGGCCCCTAGGAAACTGTTGGTCCAACAGTGGGTGGGACTGGCTTAGAGGCAGCTATGTTTCTTTGGGTGGAGTGATGCTAGTTGAAAATAAAGAAGGTAAAGTGCCAACTTTTTAAATGAGGTCACTTTATATAGTGATATGCCAGAGGACAGTATCTCAAGGACAGTCTGCAAGATAAATTCATAAAGCTATGGTTTTGGGTAAATGGTAGTGATTTTCATTTGGGCACTTAGAAAAGTTATGAAAATTCTCAGAGATTTAGAAGATATTTTCAAAAAACACCAGATTTTAAGTGTTTAATAATTGAAGCCTTGGCTTTTTCACACTTTCCCTGGGGGGCTAGGTATAATTGACTAATTTCTGAGCCTCAGATTCCTTTTTAGTAAAATGAAGAAAGTTTTGTCTAGGTCATCTATAAAATTCCATTCAAAGTGAAAACTCTCTGAGCTAATGGTTGAATCCTAAGAAAGGATTTAGAACCTTAAAGATGAGCGGATTTATCAGGACACTAACAAAATTGAGTGAAAGTAATCATAATAATGTTTGGAACAAAGCATACAGTTATTCTATCTGTATTGAAAGCATTCAGCAACAAACAAAACCCATTAATGTGGCTTAAATTAGAATATTTAATTATGTTGCAATGTTGTCAAGATCTCTGGGTCTTTCCTTCCTTCTGTTCTTTCATTCTCAGTCTGTGGGTTCTTACGCTTATCATCTCATGCTCAAAATAGCTGCTGTGGCTCTGGGCAGCACAACAGTAGTCAAAAGCAGGAGGTTCAGGCAGTGTGCTCCTAATATCAGCGAAGGAGAAATTTACAAAAGACTTCCTATTGTTTTATTTGTCTAGAGCTAATCCTGTCCTTACTTTTAACTGCAGCAAGGGAGACTTGGGCAAGAGAATATTTGGCAAAGGGGAATGGGACAACCATGATGGTATAGGAACTATTTTAATTCATTCCCGGGAGCTGGGTTCAAGTCCATTTTAAATTTGGGAGTTCTGTTAGCCAGGAAGAAAATGGGTAATAACTGTTTGGTATATAGCAGGCAGTGTCTTCTTGTCGTCCTGGTGCAAAATTTCTAAAATATTTTCTTTTGATATCCACATTTTAAAGTAAAAAATCTGGGGAAGAGGTGCTAATCTTTGTAGAATAGAAAGGCCTCTATGATAGTCCAGTCTTGTTGTCCATTGTGTACCCCTGGCTTTCTTCACTTATCTTTTCCTTCCACCTGAGTTGAGTTTACTTATGTGAAACAAAGTGTCAAACATAAATCCCAAATAAACTGAGTTCTTTGAGAACAGGAACTTGGTACATAATAGGCACTTGATATACGAGGTCTGTCCAGAAGGTATTCATCCATGCAATATGAAAAATAGAGTTACTTATTGAAGAAGATATAAGAAACATTGTACATAGGACAGTGACACCTCAGTCCCCTTCAAAGTGGACATCTTGGGACCTCACACAGTTTTCTCCCAGTTGCTGCCAGCTTCCCCATCATATTTTCCTGAATCTCATTGACAGTCTGAAATCTCTTCCCTTTCAAAGGTGATTTTAGTTTTGGGAAAAGGCAGACGCTGCAATTACACTGCAATTACACCACAATTACACCAAATCTGTGCTGTAGTGAGGCTAAGTTACTTGGGGGATTTGATGTTTTACCAAAAAATTCTGCATAAGACTCAATGCGTGAGCAGGCACGCTGTCATGATGAAGCTGCCAGTCATCAGATGCCCATAGCTGCGGCCTTCTGAATCATCTGAATAGTTTCCTCAGAGGAATGTTCAAGCTTAATGCAAAATTTGATGCAGATTCATTGTTCTCACTCAGTCATTTTGAATGTGACGGCCACACAGTACATATGCTCATTCAATGGCATCTACCACCCCCACTGACTAGTACACATGAAGTTGCCATTGTTCACACAAGTGCATTCCAGTCCACTGTCCTTGGCTGCCAGGTTACACTGATGTCACACAAATCATTCTTGTTACATTAACAATGGCTGGACTTTTTCCAGACAGACCTTGTATAATAATAGCTCACATACTGAATTCTTACTATGTGCTAGGCACTTGTCAGTCAGCACTTCACAATTATTAAGGCATTTAATCCTCTGAACAACCTTATGAAATAAATATTGTATCACACTGGATAGACGAGGAAGCAGAGACAAAGGGAGATGAATAGCTTGTCAGAGTAGTAAGTCTGACTCTGGAACCTGCACTGTTAGCCACTGTGATGTTCATTTCCTGCCTGTTGAATGAATTCTCAGTAGGACCAAGCAGTAGGTATTCAGTAAGCAGTTATGAGGGGAGGACAACCTCAATGTCAGGTCCATTCATCCTGAGTTTCCTGCTCATTCTCTGCCACCACTTCTTCCTCTGTAGACTCTTGAACTCACTCGCTTGTTCCTCTGCTGTATACAGTTATTTAGCATGGACAGCTTGCTTGTGCGTGCTGACTGAAGGGAGAAATACACACACCTTCTCCTCTGACAGACCCACTAATGACTGGAAAGGTTTAAAAAAGATAATATGACAAAGCACCAATAAAAAGAACAGAAAAGCATAGAAGGGGTTAATAAAGAAGAGCTTTACTGAATAAGTTTTGCTAAAATAAAACATTCAGAAGCAGGGTTGGTTTGAATCAGTACTATTTCCAGATTTATTGAGATTGTCGATTCTGCCTTTAACGTGCTTCCTAGTCTCTTCTTCAAAGAGGAACTTCTAGATGTTCTATTCTGGCTTTACACTGCCTGCATTCAGCACTACTTTGCGCCTCCATCTCCATCCTCCAGTCAGATTGCTTCCATCCCCTGGAGAAAGATGGCACTCTTACACCTGCCATGTTTCTCCCTACTGTGTTTATATGTTTGCATGTTCAACTGTTGATCAAGCTTCACCTAACACTTTAAGGTGGGAGCCTTGGCTTTCCCCTGTGGATATGTAATCTCAGTGGCTCTTTGATTACTGGGACAAGACTCTTGATGGCTAATTGCCGGGTTCCTTATCTCTGCTTCTTAGGCTGTATCTCCCTTTCCTCTCCAAAGGTGGCTTTCTGCTTAACTTACCTAGTAGGTAAATGCCCAAAACTAAGTCTTGGGAGGGGTAGCCCTGCTCTGTCTACTGACCTGTTCCTTGACTCATTGTCAGGGAAGAGGTGGGACTTTTCCAAGATGACAAGGGAACTCTTGCAGTACTTTTGGAGGAGGAAAAAATTGTTGGAAGGATATATAAATGTGCAACTGAAGTTTTTAAAAATATTATGTCTTTTAATTTTTTTTTTGCATGATGCATGTGTGAAAATTTTCAGTCTTCCCCACCCGTCCCAGCACTTACTATATGCCAACCATGGGGACACACCGATGAGCAGGAGTAGGAATGAGAAGGGATGAAGGGGCAGACAGCAAACACAAAACAAGTGCCTTGAACTGTATGTGTGAAAACTGTTGTCCGAGTTCAAGGGTAGTGACTGTCTCTCGTAGGAAAGGCTTCACAAAGGAACTGACATTTAAGTGTGGCTGTCAAGGTTGAGTGGAACTACTTACCTCTGAAAGGTAAAGGAGGAAAAATGTGTCATATGGAAAGAGCAGCTTATACAAAGCAGAGAATTGTAAATAGAAAGAGTATGACTTCTGGGAATAGAGAGAGATCAGTGTGATCCTAAGCATGGAATGCATGGCTGGGGGCCAGAATGAATGGGGCCACAAAGATAGATAAGGGTCACACATGAAGGACTTGGCTACAGCCAGTGAAGGAGTTTGGATTACTAGGGTAAAAGAAAGCTGGTGAGACAGTGATGTGATCAATTCACAAAACCAATTAGAAAGATACTGTAGATGTACAGCAAGGTAAAGAAGACTTAAGCTAAGGCAGAAGTAACTAAGTTTAGTAATTTTTGAGCTAGACGTGACACGGACAGTTATGAGTTCAGTGGAATGAAGGCATATCGTAAGCGAGAAAGGTAGGATGAAGGATTACTGTAAGATTTCTTCTGCTTTGAGACTGTGAAAAATATAATGTTATTAATTGAAAGTGAACATATAGGAGGAGATTTTTTTTTTCATGAGGTAGGAGAGAGAATGGAAAGGATCAGTTTTACACTTTGAAGTAGCTGCAAAAAAGGATGTTCCAAACCACGCACCTGATTTCAAGTACAGAAAGTATGTTGTTAAATAGTTGGTAGGGGACAATCAAGTTGAATATATTAATTCATATGAATGGGCTTGCTTTATCACTATAGCTGGATCACTATGCCTATAAAATGTAAGAGCAGTTATAATTCAAACAGAAGGGGATTTTTATTAAAAAAAATAAAAATAAGTGGAAAACTAAAATAAGTAAGTGGAACTGCAAAAAGCTATACAGCAAAAGAAATCATCCACCTACACAATGAAAAGGCAACCTACTGAATGGGAGGAAATATTTGCAAATCATATCTCCAGTAAGAGGTTAATACTCAAAAAATAAAAAAATCTCATAAGCAATTCAATTGCAAAAACAAATTTTAAAAATGCGTAGAGGATCTGAATAGACATTTTTCAAGAAAGGACATACAGATGGTTAACAGGTACATCCTAGATGCTCACCATGTGTGGCTCAGTGGATTGAGCGTAGGACTGTGAAGCAAAGGGTCCCTGGCTCTATCCCAGTCAGGGCACATGCCTGGGTTGCAGGCTAGGTCCCCAGTAGGGAGCATTTGAGAGGCAACCACACATTGATGTTTCTCTCCCTCTCTTTCTCCCTCCCTTCCCCTCTATCCTCTCTCTAAAAATAAATAAAATCTTTAAAAAAATGTACCATCATTAATCATCAGGGAAATGCAAATCAAAACCACAATGAGATTATCACCTCATACCTATCAGAATGGGTATTATCAAAAAGACAAAAAATAACAAATGTTGGCGAGGATGTGGAGCACAGGGAATCCTTTGTAAATTGTAATCAAGGTAAATTTGTACATCCAGTATAGAAAATAGTATGGAGGTTCCTCAAAATATTAAAAAAAGAACTGTCATATGATCCAGCTATTCCACTTCTGAGTACTCATCCAAAGAAAACAAAAAACTAACTTAAAATGATATATGCACCCCCATGTTCATTGCTTCACTATTTACATAGTCAAGATAAAGAAACAACCTTAGTGTCCATCTTTGGGTGAACTGATGAAGAAGATGTAGTATATATTCCCATATGTTATATATACAATGGGATATCCGGCCATAAAAAAGAATGGCCAAAATGAAGCTTTGCTATTTGCAACAACATGGATGGACCTGGAGAACATTGTGCTAAGTGAAATAAGCCAGACAGAAAAAGATAAATACTATAAGATCTCACTTATATGTTGAATCTAAAAAAAAAAAAACAAAAAAAAACCAAAAAAATAACCCCACGAGAGAAGGGGGTTGGGTGAAGTGTATAAAGGGGGTCCAGAAGCACAGACTTGCAGTGAGAAACGAGTTGTGGGGATGTAATTTATAGCATGGTGAGTATAGCTAATAATACCACGTTGCATGTTTGCAAGTTGCTAAGAGTAGATTTTTAAAAGCCCTCATCATAAGAAAGACAATTTTGTAATTATGTCTGGTGATAGAAGTTAACAGGACTTACTATGGTGATCATTTTGCAGTCCATACAAATATCAAATCATAATGTACACCTGAAACTAATATAATGTTATATATCAATTATATTTCAATAATAAATAAAATGGAAAGATATAAAATGGGATAAAAAATAAAGAGGGTTAGGAGAGTTGTCCTGTGTCTTCTGATTCCTAGTACATACATTTTTAGTTCTAAACTTGACTTGCTGTCATTAAAAATAATTTAGACTTATACCACTGTATTACATATAATAATACTTTTTTTTTTGTTTCTCAGTCACTTGGTAAGTCAAGCCCCATCTAATATGAAACAAATTTTTACACATGTTAGAAATGCATGGATGGCTTCTGTGCTTGTAAGTGGAAACACTAGTCTAGTTTCAGGCCAAAAGATAGTTCTTAGATAGCTTGCTAAGGGAGCACAGTACAAGTCTGTCAGATCAGAACTATTTCAGCTGGACATCTTGGCTCTGCCATCTATGACTTGTGGATCCTTGAGCCCAGTATACTTCAAGGCCAAAAAATAAGGTAGGCATTCATTGATTTTCATGAATACATGAATATGATACATGAGCATCGGTGAACTATTAATATAAGATCTTCTGCATTCTCAAACATTAATATACTTGATTTTTGCCTCCTTGTTTTTTATCTTCAATGTACATTTTTGAGAATTGTTTTCTTGCCCTGGCTGGTGTGGCTCAGTGGATTGAGCACTGGCCTGTGAACCAAAAGGTCGCTGGTTCTATTCCTAGTCTGGGCACATGCCTGGGTTGTGGCCCAGGTCCCCAGTCTAGGGCATGCAAAAGACAACTGATCGATGTATCTCTTGCACATCATTGTTTTTTTGTCTTTCTTTCTTCCTTTCTTTCCCTTTCTCTAAAAATAAGTACAATCTTTTAAAAAATAAAGAATTGTTTTCTCTTTATAACATTTAAACTAATACTGAACAACTTTAAGTTTATAGTTTTTCCAGTCAGTTGATGGGCTGGTAAATTTCCTCCCTCCCTTACCTGTTGCATGATTATAAAACGGTGTTCTGGTTTTTTAGAAATCTTTTTGATATTTGCAGAAACGAATTGGAGAAACATGGTGGAAACTTCAGATGGACTGGAAACATCAGAAAATGAGAGAGAGGTTCCCTGTAAACACAGCTCATCTGAAAAGTCCAGTAAACTTCCATTTGACACAGGCCCTGTCGGTAAGCAGTCCCCGATAGTGGCTGCGGGCAGCACTACCTCAGCTCCGAACCCTGGGAAATCGGCAGTGAGTGATAAAGAGGACGTGAAGCCAGATGACCTGGAATGGGCCTCCCAGCAGAGCACCGAAACTGGCTCTCTGGATGGCAGTTGCCGAGATATTCTGAATTCCTCCATCACTAGCACCACCAGCACTCTTGTACCTGGCATGCTTGAAGAAGAGGAGGATGAAGATGAGGAGGAGGAGGAAGATTATACTCATGAACCCATATCTGTAGAAGTACAGCTCAATAGTAGAATTGAGTCTTGGGTTTCTGAGACCCAGAGAACGATGGAAACTCTTCAGCTTGGGAAAACCCTTAACGGTTCTGAGGAAGACAACGTAGAGGAGAGTGGGGAAGAGGAAGCAGAGGTGCCTGACGTGCTGGAGCCAGGGATGGACAATGAGGCCTGGACTACTGACCACCAAGTAAGTCTGGAGCAGCAGAAGCCCAGCAGCTGTAGCCCTCTGGACAGCCAGCACTCCAACTCAAATTATGCGCCCCCAAATCTTTAACTCAGGAAATGCCAGCTTTCTGTCTCCAGCTGTGTAAGGGTTACAGCCATTATCTTATATGCTTCATCTCAACATTTTGCACTGTCCAATATTTAATATATGTATTTAATTCCCGACAGAAATATTTTTGTAGCTGTCTTTTACTTGATTTGTTATGACCTCCAGCTTAGCTTTTAATTAGCATCTCAGTGTCTTTCTGAGAACTGTGTGGAAAATTCAGAATTGTTTCAGCTTATATTATTATGGGAAGTAATGATTTAAAAAAAGAACAAGACCGAGTTTTAAAGAAAACAAGTTTAAAATACTGACTTAGAGTCATTTTGAAAGTTAAAGATCAAGGTTCTAAGGATAGGAGCAGTTACCAGTATTTGCTTCAAGACTGCTTTTGCTCTAACCGGTCTGGCCAAGACGTTTGGGCTTCTTCCAAAGAACTGGCGGTAGAGCTAGAAAATTAAAAAAGTGTCTGAGCAAAACTTAAGTTCACAAGGTGTTTTGTGTTAAGGATTGATGCAACTTTTTTTGGCCCACAAATGCACCTTTCAGAAGTTGCTGGTCATTGTGATCGACCGAAATTGGGATGGGCTAAAATGGAACCTCTGATACTTAGGTGAGCAAAGGGGCGTCCACGATGAGAGCGGCCTTTCTAGTGCGGCGTGACAGGTGGTGTTTGGACAGTGAAACGTCACCCATGGTGGGACCTTCCAGGTTTTGTCTCACATTTGCTTCTTACCTCAGGAATGCTTTTGTATATACTCATATTTGCATAAAGTTAGGCAGGTTTTTGACATTAAATAACTGATTGTATGACTGCAGCTCTTACATGTAACTGATCCAGAAACAAAATCTTATACTGGTGTATTCTCTTGCATGCTTCTGATTCAGGACTTTCACTTTGAGACGTGGATTTGATGGGGTATCCAAATTTGTCCTGAGTGGGAAACCATTTCACTTTTTAAAAAATATATATATATTTTGCCCCTCGCCTCAAGCACTTGCCATGTAGCACTAATCATAGTTACTGATAGGAGGTCAGGGGAAGGAACCTCATGTAACGTGTAATGGTATCCAGGTAATCAAGGGCTGGAAGAGGAAGTTTTGAAGAAAAGGGCAAGTTGTTCTAATTGTGCTGAAACTATCATATTATTTAGAGTATGCAGCTGTACACAGGTATTGATACTTGATCACTAATTACTTATCCCTGCCCTTCTCGAGGAATGTGTATACCTGCTTGGGAGAAATACTGAGCTCAGTGTTTTATTCACTAGTCAGTCACCACCTGGTAGTGAGCGGCCTTTACCAGTGTACGTAACTGTGGGAAAATTACAAACTACCTGTTTTCCTGTCTTCTCTCCAGCTCCACCCCCAACTGACCAACACACACACAGACACTCCAGCCTTACGCTTACAAGCTCCCATCAGCAGGCACAGAACCGAGGAGGGAGGGGTATTTTCCCTGCCCTGGTTTTATAGGGCAGGCTTTGCCTCACAGAGGCAGGAGGGAAGAATTGGGCGGATTCTTTACTGAACTCATTCAGACTACTGTGCTATTTTTGATGTTTTATAATCTTGGCATTTAATTACTGGAGAGATCAGATCCTTGATAGATGATTTAGTATTTGTGAATTGTGGAAGTTTGAGCATTGCTGTGTAGAACACATCAGTCTGCCAACTTGATTAGTGTGCTGAAAGGGGACGTAGCTGTGCTGTCCTGTCTGACCTGTTCTCTGGAGCAGGCGCCATGGGCGCAAAGCGTCCAGTACGACAGGAACCCAGCGTGAGAGAATGAAGCCTCAGACTTAACAATCATGGGTTTGTAAGTGGCAGATCTTTCTGACTCTATGCATTTGGAAATGTTAGTTGTTTTAAAGAAATGATAGAGTTTTTGAACTACTGACAGTCTTAAAAGTAAACTTAAAAGCTTTTCATACTTTTTAATGGTGTAAATTTCCTTTGATGTCAGTGATTCAGTAACTCTTGATCAAGGCAGTGGCTTTTCAAAGGTTTCTTATATTTTATATCTCTTCTGAATGAGAATTGTCATTTTAGATTTTTGACATTTGTATCAAAAGAGAAGTTGAGGAAATCTTCGAAACACACATAACTTTCCTTTTTGCTATAGACTTTAGAAGTGTTTAATTACGTGTTCAATAAACGCTCTTGCACGGGCAGTACCCCTGCCAGCAAACCCAAGGGACCACAGGCTTTTATATGAGACAGGTCACCTCCAGAGGAAAGCCCAAAATTTATTAAAGGAAATGTTACTGTGTTGAAATACACTAAGCAAATATTAATAATGTCTTTATAATTTGTTTCCTTTAGAGAAATTCTGGAATGTGTGTATATTATATACAGGAGAAAGTGTGAAGATTAAGGAAGTGGGTGTTTTTTTGTCTTTAGGGCTTTGGTCTGAGGTCAGTGCCTCTTTGGACCTAGAGAGAGATCTAATGGTAAGAGTAGGGTTCATCATCGCAAAAAATAAAAACCATAGTGACTTTTTTCTTAGTGTGGAGGTGGTCTTCCTGGCAATAATTAATACTAGATTTTCATTCAGTACATAAGTATCTGAATTACAATATGAATTGCACTCCCAGAGCTAGATTTCTGCTTCATTAGGTTTGTTTACTGTGAGGATCACTTCTCAAAAGACAAAAAGGTTCATATTAGCTTAAGTTTTGGTTTCAGTATATTTGTAAATGATGTAATATATTTCTTTTGACTAAACATGGGAAAAATAATCTGTTATACATTGAGAAGTTTTTAATGGCTTTGAGTGGAGGTCATTTTTTGCAGAGATGGTATTTTATATGCTTTCAGTATTTGGAAAAGAATTAGTCAAAAGGAATTTACATAGTTTAAATATTGAGAAATTAATATCCAAATAATGTACTTGTCTGATTTCTTAATAAGCTGGGGGAGGTGGGTTGGGTGGTAATTGTAATGTGCAAATGAATAGTGAACTCTACATTCATTTTTCAGCTGTTTAACATAAAACTGTTAAATCTTAACACATTGTTACTTTAATATGTGTATAAATAAGTATTACTGTTTGTAAAGCTGCTGTTTGCTTTAAAAACCTGTCATTTAAGTATTTCCTGTATGTTGTGCCAACAGGTTAGAATATTAACTTTTCTGTTTAAAAACTTTATCATTTTTTGATTTAAAAATTTTTTTCTGTGAAATAAGTTATTTACAGGCATCTTCTCCCTCACCCCTTCCAACCTTTATACACATCACAGAATCAACCAAACTGTTTGGTTGATTCTAATACCTGAATCTTAAGTAATCATAAATTTTAAACTTGGTTGGCACACCATACCTTCAAAGTATTTGTATTCTTTTGTAATTTAATTTCTAAATATACCACATAAATTTATAATTTAATGTGTTAATTGTAATGCTCTAATAAAAAACTAGCAAAATTAGTATGAACTATAACATAAAGGGATTATCATCTTGTTCTTTTGCTGTATGAAGGATAATTGTTATTTCACATTTTAGGGGTAATAACAGCTTTTTTGCACTATGTAAATACTAGTGAAGATTCTTCTGTAACTAATAAAATGATTATTGAAATGCTGTCTCTCATTTGAGAATAAGTGTATAAGGAATTCATGACTTGCCCAACACGTAGGAGAAAGAAAAAAAGCCAAGCCCCTAGTGTTGCTTGGTGTTCTCATGGGTTTGCCAAGGAAGGTTGGAGAATCTGCAGGAAGGAGTTATTAGTAAAAATCTCCACTTGGGACTGGTGGTGTGATCTGGGGCAGAGCCTCACCATGGAGCCAGAGACCGTCCTAGTGTTGGGAGAAGGCGCCCACTGCTTCCTTTTAGTGCCGGTTGCTTTGTGACAAGCATTGTTCTAAGCCTTTTCCCAGTATTAACTCCTTTCATCCTCTCAACAGCCCTTTGAGGGAATACTGTGAATCACATTTTTGATGAAACAGTCATAGAGGTGTTAGGTAACTTACCTGAGATCCCGCCGCTGGTACATGGCCGAACTGGGATTCAGACTCAGTCCCATGGCCAAGTCCATGGTCTTAACTGGGCTCTGCAGCTTCACAAAACACTCAGGATATCCAAAGCAAACAGTGCTTTCCTTCACCTCCTGCGTGCGCTGGGACTGACCTGGTTGCCTCATTTCCTGAGCCTCACCTAATCACTCTCCCTAAAGTAGTCCCAGACCTTGTCACTAGGTCACAAATGTAGGGAATCTGAAAAGAATAGCCTGGTCTGCTAGAAAATAGGTCATTAATTTTCATAATGAGAAGAAATGAATTTTTGGTGATTGCAGAGAAAAGCAAATGCCCTCTCAGTTACATCAGAATATTTCCTTTTCTATTTTTTGACCGATGTTTGCACCACTTCTGGTAAATCCTAAAAATGGTCAGTTTTCTTCTAACTGACCAGAAGAGGGTGTCCATGGCCCCTGAAAACGGTTACCATGTAATAGTTTTTTAAATGGGGAGAGAGGGAAGAGAAATAATCCTGAACTGTGGGTTTTGCTAACAGAAGGCTCTGAGCCTAAGCTGAGAGCTCAGGGACCATATCCGTAAGTACCGTTCCCTTTTAGGAAAAACGCACTGTCAAAAGATTTGACTGCATGTTATGTAGTTCAATTTGAAATTTCTAAATTAGCAATATTTTAGGTTGTCTTGGGTTCTGATGTTCTTGGATTCTTCTGACATGTATAAAGGGTGACACCTGCTGACAGGATACGTATTAAGGGCAGCCTTGTGGACTGCAGGGCCAAAGCATGCTCTGCTGGATTTCCCGCAGTGCGGGATTTCCAAAAGGGAAATGCTTCAGTTCTGGACCTGGTCTCAACCCTTGTATTTCTCTCCACTCCACTCCCATCTTTCCGACACCAAGTAATTGTTTGGCAACCCTATGGCAAGTAGACTCTTGCAGAAATGGGTTGACGAACTGCCTGGCTATACCCTGGCTACCTTCGTCTAAGGGTATATATAGCGTGGAAGCAGGGGGCTAGCACACGTAAGTACTGAGCTGCATAAGATTTGGAGCTCTCAGCCCAGCTTGATGGTCTGAGGCACCAAACAACCCGATTTTGAGTTGGTTAGCTATGGTTTGGAGTCTGGAGTAGAAAGCTTTCCTGTAGAAGAAATGAGTGCTTCATCTCAGAAACATTGGGTTTGGCCATGGCCTTGAGTTACTCAGAGGAAACATGTAACGACCCCAGCCTTCCTCTAGTGGGACTCTGATGACAAGTAAGAGATGTCAGCAAACGTGGTCCCTGCTGAGGTGTGCACAGATCCCCTTTGTTGCCATCACTTCCCAGTTTTCTCCGTGTTTACCTGAGTTAAAGTGCTTTCTTGCTTTGCACACCTTCAGCTTGAGAATGGGATAACAAATTAAAATGTAAGCAGTTAATTTTGTAAGCTCTGATTAGGGAGGAATGAGCAACGTTTCAAAATTACTGGTTTCTCAGTCGAGGGTTAAGTGTTAAGAACCATCATCCCTGTTTTTTTCCTCGCTTTCCTAAAACCCTCGTGCTGAGGCAAATGGTGAGTTCCTGGCAAGTTCTGTAACACTTATAATTGGAAATGGAAGAGAGATCTCTGTGGCTACCTTACAAATATTCAAACACAGTGATGGGCAAGAAAAAGGTTACAACTATGTCTTTAACTCTTTCCCTAATACTTAAGATACTCCATTTAAAAGGTTTCATACTCGTTTAGATAAAGAGACCGCCTGTGGACCAAATGGGCTGCAGCCTGTTTTGGTAAATAAAGTTTCGTGGGAACACAGACATAGCCCTGCATTGACACACTGACTGTGGCTGCCTGCGAAGCCTCACATGTTGGCTGGGCCAGGTCCTGCACAGGAAGGCTGCCTGCCTCTGAAACCGAGAGGGTGTCCAACTGCACTTCATTCTGTGTGATTTTTCTCCCAGGGCGTCCTTTTATTTCTGAGAAGGATACATCTGGTATGTATTTACATACTTTAAAAATGCTTTACGCTTCGCCCAGTGGCAGAAGGCGTGTGGATGCCTGGGAGGGACACCATCAGAAACAAGCCCTGTGCTCTCTGATCGCACAGAGGCTTGGGCGGCTCAGGCTCATTTCTCCGTTTTCCACAATTCTACCATATCAGGCAAGTCCCCTGATCATCTCATTCTTAGCTTCTCCTCTACCAGCGAGTGAGGGATGTACTGGTTAAGTTTGTTACGGAACCCTGAAATGTGGATCCTCCATGGGGAAACTGAGGCTGTTCTTTGGTCAAGAAGGGTGATGAGTTGGGCCAGGGCTGGGCACTTTGCAAAGGCCACCACAACCAAAGACTGCCAGCACCCCCCCCCCCCCCACAAAGTGGGCTGGAACCCAGAATGCTCCATGGTAATTAGGCCAATAGCCCTAGTTCCCTTAAAAAATCTGAACTGGAACCTCAGAAAGAGAGTGGAATAGGTATGCTGAGATGGTAGAGAGGCCATGAGAACAACAGAGAAAGGAGCTGCCTTATATCCTGACAGCTTTGTGGGTTTTGTCTGTTCCCAGGCCTTTGATCCACACTGTTTTTTCTCAGTTACGGAGAGCTTGTCTGCTTTGGACAACCAACAGAGTCCTACATAGGTGACCTAAATGTGCTGGCTGTGTGGAGAGAGGGCTCATCATAAATGAATTAAGAACATGCCACTTTGTGGTGACATGTGCCAGGAGTCTGCATTGTGTCAGGGTGGGAGCTGGGTGCGTAAAGGAGTGGCCCCAGGCCGGCAGGGGGGATGCCCGCAGCTGGGACACAGGCTGGGTGAGGAAGAGCACTTCCTCCAGGCAGGGCTGCAGGTGCAGAAGCCCTTCAGCAGCTCCAATGCCACCAGCACCATCACACCTGTATAGGATGTCCCGACCCACATGAACCAAAGCTTTGAGATCACCCTTGACCCCTTTCCCTCTTACCTGTCAGGAAATTCTGCCACTTTCACAGCGAAATGTATCCAGAATCCAGTGACTTTTCTCTCCTTCCTCTCCTCACTCTCCCGTCTGGATTGTTGCAGTCATCTCCCCCTCTCTTTTCACCCTCCCCCATTGTTTCATTCTTGTCCTGTGGTTGTTCTCCACACAACGGCCCTAACGAATGATTCTGTTAAACATCTGAACAGATCATGTCTGTTCTGAACCCTGCAGTGGCTCCCACCTCACCCAGAGGAAAACCTTTTCCTGTCTGCAGTGGCTCACAAGCCTGTGCACGCACACCCTTAGTTACCCCTTTGGCCTAATCAACCACACCTCCCCCCACCCCACCCTTGCTCTCTCTACTGGCACCCTTGCTAGATCTGGAATGTGCCAAGCATGCTGCTGCCTCCAGGCCTTTGCACTGTCTGTTCCCCCTGCTGAGAGGTTCATTTACCCCCTCCTGCACCTCCTTTGGGTCTTTGCTCAAGTGCACCTTCACAGTAAGGTCTCAGGGGAGTCGGGGTCCACCCTGTCCAAAATTATAACACTCTCCATCAACTGATTCCCCAATCCTGCTCCTTCCTCATTTGCACTTGTCCCCAAACCTGTTCTCTCCCTCTTCCCCACGTTTGCACTTATCAAGCTCTAACTTTCTATTGAGTTATCTTGTCCCCCCGTCTCTCCCCGCTACTAAGCTCTGTGGGCAGAGACTTTGAACTGTTACTGGTTTAGCCTCTGTGTTTAGCACAATGCCAGACATGAAATGGGCATTCAGTAGATCTTTGTTGAATGAATGCATGAGAGAAGGCTGCATGACGTAAGGAAATTGGCCTCTGCAATGCAGCCGCGTGCTGTGCGGCATTTACACTCGTACTTGCTGACTCCCCAACCACTCTTGTTTTCTCACATTTGTTCAGAGTTTGGGATCGCAGGAAAAACTATCCTGAATCTCAAACAGAAAAGCCTCGCCCTAGAATAGGGGATTCCTTGAGCTTCTCCATATTTAATGGTCCTATGTTGCTTATAGCTCAGAATACATGGTAAATTTAGTAACTAACGATTTCTATGTGGAGGGAGGTGACAAGTTGCCCGACATTCCTATGAGATTAAGTGGGAAGGGGGCAGGAATGCATGAGCCCCTTCCAGTGTTTATAATGTTTTATTTTTAGGTTGTATGAGTAGGATGTGAGAATGCGGTATATTGTTATATTTTTATACGCTTGAGGTATCTAATGAAAATAACCAAAAGGAACGGCCAACTGAAACACAGCCATTGCCTCTCCCATAACTAACTCACTTCCCAGACTTTGTACTGACTTCAGAACACTGACAAAGAAAGCTGGTGGTAGAAATGAAACTAGAAGTCAGTCTGAAACCTCTGTCTTGATTGATTTAGCAAAGTTATGATGTGATAAATAGCCAGTAGCTACAAATTTTATCTTTTTCCCATGAACCAGAAATTGTGCCACTTCATCCATCACCTGGCCTACACCTCCCCGCAGTGATGAGAAATGTGGCTCACACCTATGACTCTCCCATCTGCTCCCTCGCTGGAGCAAGGTGCTTTAATCTTCATAGAAAGATTGAAGATTGTGTTGGCGACCTACTTATCTGGTTTCCTTAGTAACCAGAGCGCAGTATTTAAAGTGACGGCAACTCTTGCTCAGA